AGTATGAGCAGCTTGGAAAGGAATGGACATGACCCCCTCCTCTGGCATTTCTTCATTCTTGAGCACCAAGAAGCTATCCTCACTGCAATGACAGTGGTTGGGTAGAGGGCGAGCCTGGCACTGGGCTAAGGGTGGGACATCCACGCTCCTCTTTGCTTAACTACAGCTCTGGTGGCAGAGTGGAGGAAGCTGCCACTAGCGGGCAGGGATTTCAGTGACCACCACACAGTTCAGAAGCACCTGATCTAGGTCACACATGTTTAGCACCAGCTACAGCCACTTACCTGGGCAGGGCGGTGTCTCCCAAATTTGCTTTTGTCTAAGAATTTAAAAATGTAGACCCCCCTCTGACCCCAGCCTGGACACTGACTTGGGACAATCAAACAGCTTAACAAGCCCCTCAGCTGATTCTTCCGATCAGTTTGGAGACCTCTATTCTCAACACCTACTGCACAGGAGAATCTCCCAACATTTTAAAAACAGACTGATACCTGGGGCTCCCAAAGAAGCTCTGATTTGATGGTTATGGGTGGAGACCTGGGCATGGACATATTTAAAAGCTCTACAATGTTCCTGAGGTACACTGAGGCCAAAGGGAAAGAAAGCCCCTGCTCCAGAGAGCTCAGAAGCTGCTGGCTCGAAGGCCTCTGTCACGGGCCTGGAGACCAGGGCAGGCCACACTAGGACGGCCGGCAGGGCCTCCCACTGAGAACAGAGTCCTCTCCCACAGAGGCCGGCTGAGGAGGGAACTCAGCAGGCAGTGGTGAGCAGTTCTGCCAGGCATGCTCTTCTGCCTGTGAGTTCAGGAGAGCAAATTAAAACAGAGATATGGAAACTTCAGATAGATAATGCTGAAGAAAAACAAACAAACAAATGCCACTACTCCGTGATCTGCAAAACAAATGTGCCTTACCAGGGCTATCCCACCTTTGAGAAATTCTCCTTCTGCTTTCACACTGGAGTCCTCAGCCAGCCCGGTGAGGCTTCTGATGGGCCCTGGCCCAGGCTTGGAGCGCTGGCCAAACCTCACGGAAATACGGCCAGTGTTATTTCCCACTGAGAGCTCTGAGGATCCTGGCCTTGTCCCGGAGCTGGGTGGGGTGGAGCTGGGGTGCTCTAATTCTGTATCAAAATGTTTTGTTGGCTGCTTTAATTCCTTTCCATGAACAAAAAGGTTTTTGTACAAATTGATACTAAAAGCAGATGTTAGACAAAAATAGAATCTTCGCAACCAGAGGACTGACCAACCCAAGGTCTTTTCTAATTATCAGTGCCCAAGAAATTGCCTTCATACTGCTCAAGAGACCCAGAAAAGCCAAAGATCCAGAAACCAAAGCATGGACTGAAAAGACCTGGCTGGCCAAGGGAGGGCCAGCATGACAAACCACGAGCTCGCTATCTTTGCCAACCGAGCTGGCCTGGGAATCCTCTGAAGACGTGGTTCCCTCCTGGGCCCACTTCTGCCTCCTGTGTTCTTTCCGCCTGTCCCCTGGCTTCAGGCAGCCAGGCCGTCTCGCTGGTGGGCTCTCTCCTGGGTCCCGCCACATGCAGAGCTCTACTCCACATTCCTGGCTCCTTGGCTGTCCACGCCTGTCCTGAGCAGAGCTCTGTCTTGCGCCCTGTTCTTCCGGCCTCCACAAGCTCCTACTACAGCTTGCTGATGGAGCCTCAGGGTTCCCAACAGTCTGGCCCCAACACTCCCTCAGTGTGGGGGTCCTCTGTGCCCAGCCTAACACCCCCTCAGTTTGGGCTCCGGCATCTTAGGTATGGCAGCTGCACATCTAGTTAACGCAAAGTTCTTAAACAGCTCCAGGGCACGCGCTTGTTCACAACCTTAACATTCATGGCAGAGCCTGCAGAATTGGCCCTGCATCCCTAAAGGCAGCTGAGCATTCCTGTGATCACTCAGCCTAACTCCCCGAAGGAAGCTTTGTCATCTGTAGCGAGCTCCTCCTACACCACCCCTGCCCAGAGCTCACCCATTGCCGGGAACCCTCCTCTGGTGGCTGGTGACAATCCCTACTTTATCATGACCCCAGGACTTCAGCTTGTCTGTGACCCCAACCTACTAGGTTTCTTCTTGTTCCTAAGTCTTCATCCTTGGAATCTGGATGGTGCCTATCACCCTCCTCTTCCACACTGAGGTCCTCATAATCACATACATGAAATAAAACGAAACCAGAACTAGTTTGCCACAGGTGCTTGCCACATCGAACAGCAAAAGCTCTTCTCTGAACAACTCTCAGTCAGTATCCCCTGCCACTGAGAGGCGCCTCGTGCTCCAGCCTGTGGTGACCCTTCTAGGACTGTTCCAAGGGACAACTGAGCTCCGCCACGCTTCCACCCCAAGGCACAGAGGCTATGCCACTTCTAACCAACACCAGCCGTCACAGAAGGTACTACAGTGGGAGCAGGAGCACAGCAAGCAAAGAAAGCCTAGGAGGTGACCAAGGGCACACAGTCAGTCAGAAGCTCTGGGACACAGGTGACTGCCATGTGTTCCTCAAAGCTGACACTTTGCTACATGGTTATGAGTGCCTTCACATAGGTCTTCTCTTTTGTACGGACAGATTTCATCTTTGCAGAGCAGACAAATGTGCCCGTGTAAATTCTTCTCTCAGAACACGCACTGCATTGTCCTCGCAGGTGACAAACCTTGGTGTGTGGCCGGGGTTGCCATTCAGTACCTTGCTGCCCCACATGAGGAGGGCTGCATGTCAGGGTCCCAGGTACCACACAAACTGATGCCCTAGGGAGATCCTCATTTCCCATGGATGGGAATTAGTCACTGAAGAAGCAAATAACCCTGGATATTGGAAAGTTTCTTAGGAAGCCAAGGAATGGAGACTGCTCGGAGGTAGTCAGGAGTGGTGGGGCCCCACTTCCCAGTCTGTTGATGGGACTGCTCCATGTCTGGGGCTCACTGTGTCCTCCAACCCTCAGGGGCCATCTGAGAGGGGTGTGGGAGAGGCGGCCAAAGCACCAAGGGCCTGGGGACAAGGTCTCAGATGACAGCAGGAACCTGGGTATTCTGACAGCTCCACAGCCCATCTGATCAGGAAGGAGGGGGTGAGAGGCTGTGCAGGAGTGAGTGTCAGGAGGACCGAAACACAGGCAGGTGTGCTAAGAACAAGGACCTGAAGGTCAGGTGGGCTGGCTCAGTGGGGGAGGTGGGTCCATGAAGCTCAGCCCCTTGCTGTGCAGGAACCAGCAGATGGAATTCAGCACCAGCCTGATCTCCAGACACCTCCTGGACTCAGATATTTGGGTCTCTTTACAGAGTCAAACAAAATTCTTTGCACATTTCTCTAGATTTTAAATACTGAAGGATAATTATTTTGGGCTGAGGTCTTTTCCATTGTTTTCAGAGGGGGCAGCTCCAGACTAGAGCCCAAGGCTGCAGAGACCACCCATACATTCCAATATACAGGCTTCTTCAACTGATCCTCAAAGGCTGGGTTAAAAAACAAAAACAAAACAGAAAACAAAAGCAGAAAAAGGGTGGCCTGTGGCATCGTGACACATAACTACAATCCCAACACTCTTTGGGCAACTTAGTGAGAACTGTCTCAAAAGAAAAAAAATGTTCTGGGAATATAGTTAGCCCTGGGTTATATCCCCTGTCACACACACACACACACACACACACACACACACACACACACACACACACACACACACACACACACACACAACAAACACACACACATGAAAAGAAACCAAAGTACTATCACTGCCTGGACAGTTAACAGAATGACTTCCAAATGTCTACTCATATATTTTTCCTTATCGGTTCATCATGGGCACACAGTCAAAGGAGAGAAAATGAGCATGGAACACTCTCCTGATGTTCACAGCAACAGGAACTAAGAATTTGGGTAGAACCAGCCTGTGAGGTATCAACAACTCCAGCTTCATCTTCCCACCGGCTTCTGTTCCCATCCTGTAAGCTGACCTTGGAGCCCTGGGAGGCATAAAGCCTAAAACTGGTGGCATAACAATAACATGCGTGTTGCGGAGGGCTGTTTGTTATCACTGAAAGCTCTAAACTGTTTGCCGGCACTGGCCTAGAGAAAATGGGTGTATACTCGTACCTAGGCATGCCTTCTCCTGCACCTCAGTCTAAAGATGGTGCAGAGCACCTGATTTGACAGAAAAGAGCTAAGCATCTTGGACAAGCTGACTGCAGTACAGATCTGATCCTTGGGCTCAAGAAGTGCTCAGGCCTTGTTGGGCCATATTCAAATGCTATTTCCAATGTGCACCTGTCTTCAAAATAAGGTCCAAGGCCCTGACTATGAAAGGTTCATGAGGTTAAAAAAATGATGTCGGCCACTACTGAAATAGTTCCTCTGTATGGTCATCCAGAGAGTTGGAATAAACAACTACCATTTCTGTAACACAAGAGCAAGGGGCTCTCCTGAGAGGAAAGCCAAGATACTTGCTGACATTCTAGAAGGTGGATGGGCCAAGGCTTTCGCCTGCCAAGAACCTCAGTTGTATTTCAGACCTGACTGACTCCACACAGATTTCCAAGGAAATCAACAGTCCCACAGGGAAGCCTTTGCACGCCTGGCCCAGGAGCTTCCGAAGACAGTTTTATTACTAAGAGAGACATTTTCCTTTGCATAACCATGGATGCCCACGGACAGAGTACAGAGAACAGATGGGACCAAGAAGAAACACAATCAAGACCCATGTAGCTTTGGGTCTAAGTAAAGCATTGTCTGCGATGTACTGGTTCAAGGAGTGAGGTGTGCATGTGTGTACCCACAGTGCTTATCTACTGAAAAAGAGGGAAAGACAGGGCTGGCAGGCAGGGGAGAAGGGAAGGCTCTTGAACGACCCCCAGCTCCTAGGAGCACAGATGGTATCTGCTCAAGAATGAAGAGAATGTCGTTCCCACAAATTCCTTGGATTCCCACAAGTACTCTCTGTCCTTAGCCAGCCCTCTGACAACAGGAACATCTAAAAGATGAAGCAGTGCTGCTCCTGCATCCCTGAACTAGAGCTGGAAATGGGCAACAGTGAGCAGAGACCAGGAGGAAAAACAGTCCTGAGCCAGACCAGCCACATGGCCAAGGCCAGAGGGCCTTGGTTGGTCTTGCAGTAGAAGACTCTCATACCAGACATCCGAATGAGTGGTGAAGACTCCATCCTTGAGGGACTCTGGAGACATCCAGCGCACAGGCAGCAGCCCTTTCCCTCCTTTCCGGTAGTAGTCTGTCTCGTAGATATCTCGCGTCATCCCAAAATCTGGAAGGTATAGGAAGATGTGTGATTACGCACACTGTCGGGGGCACCTCTGGGGCAAAGGTACCACTGCTCTCACCATGGGGCTCTTCCCTACCTTCACATTCAAGGGGAGACGCAAGCATGCTTCACTTAGGGGAGGCCCAATGTTAGGGTATGCAGTTTATAAGGCAGAAACAGAAAGGGGCAATGAGTCACATGACAAATACCAACTCTTTGCTTTTAATATATTCATAATCTGGTTCCTTCAAGTAGCCAATTCCCCCGTGGCATTTAAAATGCAAAGTGGTCTACAAATTATTGAGGCCCATGATTATTAAGATAGTAAGTTGCACAGACCAAGTATCAGTGACTTGTGGGATTTTTGTTTCCAATACAGGTGATCAAACTCAGGACCTTGTGCTTGCGAGGCAGTTGCGGTGCCACTGAGCTAAATCCCCAGCCCGACATGCGGTTTTAAAAGCCCATCAAAGCTGAGCATGGTGGCACACACCTGTAATCCCAGCTACATGAGAGGCTAAGGCAGGGGGAATCCAAGTTTGAGGTCAGCCTGGGCCATTCAGTAAGCCCTTGTCTCAAGATAAAAGATTAAAAAAAAAAGACTGGGGATGAAACTTAGAGGTATAGATAGCACTTGACTAGCAAGCTTGGGGCCCTTGCTGAATCCTCAGCGCCTCAAAAGAATGAAAACCAAACCAAAACAAACAAAAAATCTGAGGATAAATAAGAGACTGTAGACTCTCATTTAGTTGGTAGCCTGGCCCACTGCCAGGGAAAAGTGAGAAATTTCACTGCTCAATAAGAGGAAAATATTCAGAGTAACAAAGGTGACAAGGTGCACAGCTAAGAGGCCCAAGGATGATACTGACTAGGTCCCTGAAGCTATTCTTCAACACTGTTCTTCAACGTAATATCCCATTCATTTGGGAAAATTCTTCCACTTTCTGTAACTCTAGAAGATGTCACATAATTAGGTTTGATGGCAGGCTTGCTTTGTAATTCTAAATTATAGCCTTTTTGTCAAATTTTGATTTTCCACTCAATCACACAACCTTTTCTCACCAGACTCTCCCATTCTCCCTCCCGGCAGAAAGAGCTGCTCTACTTTTGAAAATGGCCATTCACATCTCTACCTCCTGCCGCAAACCGGTGAGGCCACAGAGCAAACACGGACGTTTCCTGAATGTAACCGACATGGCTGCCATGCTAAAGGCCATCAAACTGCCTCCAGTGAAATTACTGGTCATGTTTGTAACCTGTGAGACACGGGCATGGAGAAAACATCTCCAAATGCTCACGGAGAACAGGAAGGAAGCACTAACATCTTGTTTCTGAATTAACCATGATATGCAAACAGGAGCGTTTGCCTTCACCTTCAAAAATGGAAAAGAAAAAATTCCAGAAAAGTCTTTTCTTCCTAAACATACACACAGAAATTTTATTTCTAGGAAGAAAAAGCACAATTATAAAGAAAGCATCCCTATAAAACACGCATGTAGTAAAAGAGCAGATATCATCTTTGTTGATGTGGATTAAAAGGCGAAGTGGTACCAAGGAGCTTTTCATCTGCTGCGCAGTGGAACAGGACAGCAGCTCGGCCTGAGTCTCCCGGGGACCAGGCCGGGCGGGATGGGGATAGAGCTCACGCTGACTGACCCTGCCCCACATGGGCACGTGCGTGGCTCCTTCTCGCACCTAACTCTTCCTACGACCTCCTGCGGTCTCTGTCTGATCAGCACCTGTATTTGGGAAGTGCAGAAACTGAGGCTCGCAGAGTGAAGATACCAGCGGCACCACTGGGGCTGAAGCTCAGGCCCACCAGGCACTCTCCCCTGCATGGAGGAGGAGGAGCTACTACAATGTGAGTCCCCAAGGGGAAGTGCGGAAGGGAAGCAGGGGCGGAGGATGCCCTCTTGACCCCACGCAGGGCTCAGACGGGAACTCACTGGGAGATCTGGATGTGTAAGGGCAATGACTGCGCCTCCGCTGTAGGACACAGCTGCACCCCAACACCACCAACGCCTACATATAATGCAAAAGACAGACACTCACCCTGCCTGGAAACTACTCTAGGGGGTACTTATAGCTCACTACAGGGCCAGAGCATTTCATCAAAAAAAAAAAAAAAAAATTACTGCTAAAGGGAATAAAAGTATTACTTGTTTTTATTTTTTTGAAACAGGGTCTCAAATAAAAGTATTAGTGAAAGCAGGGGAACACTTCTGGAACCCAGAGTTCAAGAGCTAGACGAAGAGGTCAACTGGAAATCCTTTCTCAGCATGCTAAATCTCTTCTGCAGTTCCTCAGGATGAGTATTTGGTGTTTGTCTGAAATATTATCTTAGCGGGAAGATAAAAGTGCTGGTGGTTTCCTGAGCAACCCTGATGCTGTATGTGTTTTTGTTAGATGGATTAAAAGTCCAGAGAAAGGCCGGGCATGGTAGCACATCCCTGTAATCGCAGCACTTGGGAGGCTGAGGCAGGAGGATCGCTGAGAGTTCGAGACCAGTCTGGGCTACATAGTGAGTTCCAGGTCAGTCTCAACTACACAGTGAGACCCTGTCTCAAACAAACAAAAAAAAAAAACCCAAACCAAACCAAAAAACTTCAGAGAAAAACTGAAAGGCTGAAAAGAGTTTCTAAGCAGTGATCAGAAACTCAGTCCAACTGTTCCTTCTATGCTGCAGTGGTTGGTGGCAACACAAAGACTGAATGGCAGGTCTGCCAGCTAAAGTCGCCAGCCCTGGGTGTCAAACCCACTAAGCAGTGATCTTCCCTCCCTCAAGGGGTGGCCCTGTCTATCCCGTCATAGGGGCTTCACTGTTAGGGCATTTCGTGTCCTAGCAAACTCTGTGGACCTCTGTGGGGGGAAGTATTCTTCACACAATGTAAGAACTGCAGGAGACTGGATAGTGATCTTTATTCTCAAGTCCAAAACCACTGAGAACACTGTCTCAATTATTTCTATAAGCAATGCTAAGAAGTGTTCTGCCTGGGTAACCTGAGAGGACCATGGCCACTACCTGGACCTCTGTCTGTGCACTCTGAGGATCAGAGCCAGACCGAGTCGGTCTGCTACTGACCAGCAACCAGAGACAACCACACTGATTTCAAGTCCTTGCACGCAAGAGACATGCAGGAAAAACCACTCCAGCAGCAGAGCAACACTCATAATGTCCCTGACCACTAGTAGGTTTAGTTCTTGCTCAAGCAAAGGACACACCTCCAATTTTGACTGTGAAATCTTCAGCCACCATGCAATTTCGGGCAGCAAGGTCTCTGTGGACAAACTTGTTGGCGTTGAGGTATGCCATGCCGTCAGCAATCTCTCCGGCCATCTGGATCATCTTGCTGAGGCTTGGAGGTGCCAGGACTGGGTTATTCTGTTGGGAGATTAAAAAAAAAAAAGTCACATAAGAAAGTTTAGGACTTTTTCCACTTTGAGTTGCTTTAGGGTTTGCAAACCCAGCTTTATTCAATCTGAGCACCACAGGTCAGTCTGCTGAGAAACCTGGACTTGCTCAGAGGAGCGTATTATCATGGCGACCATGGCCTCTACTGGGTGGTAAAGTCACATGCCTGCCTCTGACTACGTCACACAGGATGACCCAACAGGCATGACCTGGGGCCAGCGTTTTCTATTCTGGACAGGGTAAAAGGTATTTAAAAAGAAACAAAGAAATTTTTGAGATTAAGGCCTCTCGGATCCCTATTAGTTTTTGTGTTCCTTTCATTTCCATATTCAAAGTGCAGGTAAAAGGAAGACGAGCACGTTATAAAGGCTGTGAGGAGTTACACAAATGTGCTTCCTAAAGGGACAATGCACTCTTTATTTCCCATGCAAGCACCATCAGGAATTATTTAATCTTTTCTTCCTTCTGCCTTCTTCCAAGGTACACAGATGCCAGGAATGATTTCTCCGCCTTGGAGTAATGTTTTCTGTGGGCACTAAGGACATCTGAAGTCCAGCTGAAGCTCACCACGGAGGGACCAGCACAAAACTGCCAAGCAACATGGATAGGAATCCCCTCTTTGCAGAGGAGGGCAAAATGCTGGCTTTGCAATGGAAAAGAGTTGTCCCTAAATAATAACACATCTGTTTGGAAAAAAAGATTTATATAAAATGTATGCCCAAGGCTCTCAACCCTAAAAAGAAAAGAATGCAAAAACCAAACATGACCCCACAGTTTAGTTGCTAACCAGCTGTTGTAGGTCCTGGTGTCACAGGTTTTCCCGTGGATTTCCTAACTGCAAAGCATCTCATGCAACACTGCAAAACCAACTTGCTCTGGTAGCTTCTACCCAGCACCTTCCCAGCTCAGGCCTCCAGAGCACGGGAAGAGCATGCCAAGAACTTTGGGATCAGACTGGCTGGACACTGCCAGCGATCCACTGCTATGAGGACAACCTGGTAGCTGGCCTGGAAATAGGGCTCGGTGGCTGTTAGCTCCAGCTCACTGAGGGGCTAAGTTTCCACGGAAAGCCAGCATCTAGAAGCAGCCTACCAACCTCCAAGTACTTCTAGGTTGGTTCTCCACATCCCATGGCACAACAGTTGAGTTCCAGAGAGGCTATCAAGACTGACTTACAGTACCCATCACTTGGTTACCTGAGGAAGTAACATCATGTCACCAGGGGAAGCCAAAATCACCACTGTCTTTCACACAGAATCTTTAGCCTTGCTTTTCCCCTAACATCTAACATTTTTAGAAATGCTTTCAGGCTTTAAATATGCATGGTAAACCAGGAAATGCGATGGTGAAGTGTACAGGTGTCTACTAAAAAGCTGTAAAAACCAGAATCAATATAAGGAACTTAATTTTAAGGATTGAGAGGGCTGATATTTCATTAATTTATGGTATACTCAACTGAAGAGAGCAGAAATCTTTAATTTGCTTAGAGCTATGTAAGACAAGCAAATACATGCACTTATACTTAATAAGGTACATCAGCAAATCATAACTGAAGCAAGGCAAGGAGAATACAATGAAACCGAAAGTTACACATATATTTTTATACCTGATATGAATTAGAATTTAAATCTGACAAATCTATAGGTAAATTTTAGATGTGAAAAGGACTTCAGTAACCACCTCATCCAAACCATTACACATGAGGAAACAGAGGCCCAGGAACCTGGTGAAGCTGCCCAAGTACACCTGTGGCCAAAGGCAAGGCCAGCACTAAGACTGCAAATTCTGATTTTTAATTTTATGCCTGAACTGGGATGAAGGAAACAAGTGCTTGCTCCAGTGAGGCAGCTAAAAAGTATTCTGCCACACTTCCTGTCACCTATTTGATCAAGCTTTTCTTCCTCAGGGTGGCTTGTGGATAAAAGTGAGCCAGGAAAAGGAGGCTCTGACACAAAGGGACCTGGGAGAGTTATCCACTGCCTGGCACAGAACCTGGGTCCACACTTGGCCCCAAACACCATGTGCTGTAAATAAATGAGGTCACTTATGAACAGGTGCTTGGAAGGCATATGAAGAAACTGTCAGTGGGGAGATGATTAAGTTACAGATTAAAAGAAGAAAACAAAGACTTAGAGAATGACAACAGAAATGCAAAAGGGGTAGAAAAAGAGGAGTCACTGCTTCTAGGGAATATAAGCAGATAGCACTTATGCTGCAAGTGTAGCAAGGTCAGGGTCAAAGGGAGGAGTTCAGACCCAGGGAGGCAGCCCAGCAAAAGGCACTCACGTCAGGCATCATTCCTCAGCATTTAACTGTAGTTTGCTCCTACAGTTAATGACTGCTAAGTCAGGCCTCCACATGGTAAAGGCTGGCTTGTGGGTTAACGTGACAGAAGCGGAGACACCACAGCGAATAATGAAAAACTGCACAGGACTGCAGCAGGCTTAGGATTTGAAATTCTTCCTAGACTAAGCAGAGACTGTGCGGCTGAGATGATTGTCACTCAAAAGCACAAGCCTGAGGTGCAGATGCAGAGCTTGAGAAATCACATTTCCTCGCCTCCAAGGGACAAATCACTGACCGTGTAAGGAGGGCAGTTTGCACATGTGCATTCGAGTGTGCATGTGTTTGTGCATGTGTGTGTGTGGTGGGCTCCTCAGTAAGTGGATCTGTGCACAGGAAGGGGTGTGAAATCACCCTAGCAACTTCCTAGAGGCAAGGGAAAGAATCAAGAGCATGGCCCTAAGCAGCATGCTGGGCCTGGGATGAAGAACTAAACGCAGGGGGGCAGAGAGGGGATGCACTCAGAACCACAGCAAGACATGACAGGTGCGAGGCAAGTCCCGCACAGCAGGAACGTGCAGAGGAGAATGGGATGGCTGGAGGGGCAAGGCTTTGGGAAGGGGCAGCACTGGCATGGCCTGGTGGGTGGCCAGGAGACTCTGGGGTGAAGGAAATGCAGTCACAAAGCCACAGAGGTGCCCCCTGTAGACAGGGGTCTCAGAAACGGCATGTCCCTGTCACACAGATTAACATTTGCCTGTCACTGAGAAATCCTCTATCTAAGGGACCTATCACCAAGTGTGCAAGGAGGAAACCCTTAAGGGTGAAAGGCACACTGACTTAAAGACACACTACTTTCCTACAGGGAAGCTCTGAAGGAAAAAGAGCAGGCAGGATAACAAAGTTGGCAAAAACCAAAACTGACCTCCATTTCCGGCCTCAGAGACCTGAGATAGCTCTTGAGATCTCCCCGTGTCATCAATTCCATGATGACCAGCGTGGGCTGGCCCTGGGACACCACACCCAGCAACCGCACCTGGGAGGAGGCAAAAAGAGAAGGGCTCAGCAGGAGAGTAGCCTGCACTGTTACCTGCACTCTGTGTGGCGCTGGGGTCTCAATCGGGTCTCCGGGTAACGGTGCAGCAGCAGGTAACCAACTATTTAGGAGGCGGAGGGCAGGACACAACCCGCAGGCGTGGCCGTGGACACGCGGAGGGAACCCTGGGAATGCTTTCTTCCTGTGTTGGATCGTCACTGTTCGGGGCCTTTCTCTTACCACGTGGTGACAGTTGAACTCCTTCATCACAGAAGCTTCGTTGAGAAACTCGATCCTCTCACGCATGCTTGCGGCCTCGTTCACCGTCTTGATGGCTACTCGGGTTTCTGGTTCGTCTTTCACCACGCCCTTGGCCACTCCTTCATAGACCATCCCAAAGGAGCCTTGCCCCAGCTCCCGGCTCATGGTGATCTTCTCTCGAGCTACCTCCCACTCATCAGGAACGTACACTAGAGAAGAGACACCAAGGTTGAGAGGGGTGGAAAACCAGCCCTCAGCACGGAGCTCTGGGGGAAACTCCCACCCAGAGAACACAAAATGCCACAAGGGAAAACCACAGCAGGCACAATGTCAGGGCTGCTCCGGCTGAGGATCTGAGTGAGGCTGTATCAGTCAAGCACGGGTGTCGCCTGTCTCAAGGATTCCAGGATAATTTGTGCATATAAGAAAGAGAAGAAAGAAAATAAACCCAGGACAGGAAAGAAAACTGTGGTTCCTGTTACTTTTTTATCAATTTTTTTTTAAAAAGCAAATTAATTACAAGAGATAGAAAAACTGAATGAAATGGTCAGAATTCTAGATGTGGATTTTGCTAATCTTTATCAATGGATTAAAATGCAAATCAGAAAAAGAGAGTAGCAGAAGGAGAAGGAAGAGTTTTTATTCGGACCAGGAAAAGGTCCAATCTCGCATGAGCAGATCCTGTACAGAGGCCTGCGAGACTTAACAGGGTAGTGCATCCCTAAGTAGGGGTGCTGGGCACCTGAATGTGGCTAGTCCAACTGAGATGTGCTCTGAGTGAAAAATACACATGGGATTCCAAAGACTCAGTAAAAGTAATTGTGTCCAGTAAGTTTTACACTTATTCACACTAAAGCCGATAGTATTTTTGGATATACTGGACTAAATAGCCCCCTGGGCCTCTAATGGGATACAGAAGTAACTAAGCTCTGGCACTGAGGGGGACGTGGTAGTGACCACAGGACCTTGACCCAGACTCTGTGACTTTGGCCTGGGCTCTGTGATGCACGGGGTAAAGGGCTTGGGGTGGACGTGGTAAACACTGAGCCTGAACGTGATTTCTGCTCCAGCTTCGGTGTCTTTCGGTTAGGTTTCCTGTGGTGTGAGAAAATAAATAAATAATTCGAGGTAGGAAGGGAGAAGAAAGAAGGAAAGAAAAAAGCAAAGAAGAAAGAAGGCAAAACCCAACAGAGGCTCCAACCCACAGCTCCAGTGGGAAGGGCAAAGATTAAACTCACTGTTACCTACCAGACTGGAAGGAAATTTCAGTGAGACCCACTACCCCACATGCTGGGTGCTGAAGCAGCCCCACTGGAGGGCACAGCCAGCACACACTGCCCAGGAGGACGCAGACAGGCCTGGCTGGGGAGTGCGGAGTGCACTGCGTTTGCCGTGTGCTGTCAGGAGCTGACCATGGGCCTGCAGCTGGATCTGGGAGGCCGGGCGGGCAGACTGTATTCTGCCTCTCTGGCCCCAGTGCTGCTTTCCTCTAGGTGATGTCTCCCCCCGCCTCCCAGTACCGGGGATTGAACTCAGGTCCTTGAACTTGCCAGGCAGGCGCCGGAAACACTGAACTAAATCCCCAGCTCTCCTCTAGGTGGTGTCTACAGATTAGGTCTAGGAAACATCACCAATTTGTAGCTTGAGGCGTGGCTAACGTGGCTGGCACTAAGCTAGAATTTTCTCTGGTACATGTTCTTGTATTCATTGTATTTCTGTGCTTAGGGATTTCTCAGATTCAACTGTGCCTTTGTAGGGCTCAGGCAGTTGGTGTCCCTGAGGAGAAGGCCGAAGCTCACTTAGGAGAGTAAAGATGTGCCAGCCAGGAAATACCGCTCTTCACCATACCCCGGGGCAAGTACCATCACAGTCAGTGTATCCGTCTATCTCTGAGGGTCCAGGCTGGCTTTTAATCAAAATGAACTACACAGAGTGTAACTGAACATGGAGTTAAAACTAATCATGTCCATGCTTTGGGAGGTCCCTGCAGTCTCTAAATTCAACCCACAGCTCTGACGTAACCAGCAGTCCTAACTTCCACCGGCCAGTGGGAGGAACATACAGTGTTACCAGCGCTTTCTGGGAGGGGGTTTTCAGTGTGCTCTGCAGAACAATGACAGGCAGATTAGCTTTGGGAAAGGAAATTTTTAAGCACCTTTGAATAGCAATGTCATTTTGTTGCCCCTTGAAGAAAATGGCGACATAGTACTCTTCACAAAACCCAATAAATTTAAGTTCAAAGGAGGTGAATGCTCCACCTGTTGGCCTGGATGGCAATAAGTTTGTTTCTGTTTTGTTCTGAACTGGGACACGTTATGAAAGCATTCTGGAAGGTCACAGACTGTGAATTCAGACACCACTGGAGTCTGATGTTTCTATTCACTCTCTCTGGAAGCTTCCTGGCCACTTCACCACACGTCATCAATCTCTGGTGCTCTGTTTCAAAGCAGAGGAGCTTAGCTCACACAGTGTCAGACAGTGGAAAGAGCCTTGGGTTCTCTATCCATCCTATTGTCTGGGAAGACCCCTTAACTTTACTTGATTTTTCTCTTTCTCTTTCTTGGCTACTACGGAGTTAAATGTGGTGGCAAGTGCCTGTAAGTCCAGCTATTCAGGAGGCCGAGGCAGGTGAATCACTTGAGCCCAGAAACGGGAGACCACCTTTGGCAACATAGTGAGACAGTATTTTTAAAAAATCTATTATTTATTTTTACAAGCAGCACATACCCATCTTCTTACAGGTTTTTGTTTTGTTTTATTTGGAGGTGCTAAGACTGAACCCAGGGCTTCATGCCTGCCGCACAAGTGGCTGTACCATTCCTGGCAATGTCTCTTGTCTTTGTTTTTTTCTAAATAAAAACCTTTATAAATAACTACTCTTGTAAGTGTGTGGTATATTCTTCCTGAATGTTTTCTATATAATAGACAGACACACACACACACATACACGCCTGCTAAAAAGACAATTTTGGGAGCCCTTTCTGTAAACATGAATAAGTCCTTATTATTCTGCACCTGATGTCCATTCAGAAGAGGCTGTTTTTGATCAGCTTTGCTGTAAACATACTTCAATTAGAAATGATTAAAGAAACCATAGTAAAGCCATACACATGTATACAGTGCTTTCAAATTACCAAAGTATTTTCCTATGTTTTCTCATTTGATGGGGACCAATTAGAAATAATCGTGACCATGTCATGTTTCACATGCATCTTTCTCTTCTCCTGAAGCAAGAAGGCAGTAAATGCTTTTCCTAAGCACTTCCCCCCGACACACCTGCTTATTTATTTGATAAACTGGTTTGGGCCACTCCTGTGGGCCAGTTTCCCTGCCAGTCTAGGGACCTCACAGCCCCTTTCTGCAGTGACTGCATCATTTGGTCAACCAGATACCGCATCAAGGACTGGGGATCCGTCCTCTCCCCGCCATGTGCCACTCCCTCGCCCACAGATGGGCTTCAGAAACGAAACCACTGGCGGGGTGAGAGCCCCTAGCAAAGTGCCAGCTCAGGGTCTCGGCGTGGAAGGACCCAGTGCCAACTCTCCCCAGCCCAACTTCCCTAAAAGGTTTGGATGGAAGCACGCAGCCAACAGGAGACAGCAGAAAAGGATAAAAGGGAAGTGAACCTGAGCACCACCCAGCTTCCAAGTCAAACCTTTCAAGCCACTTAACTAACTGACCCTCGCGACTTTCTATGGAAGGGAACGTGAAGAAGAAATGACTCTAATGATCCTGGTCAGGAGGAGAGAATGACAGAAGGGTTCAAAGACAGAACAAAGGAGAGCAGCTGTAAATGGCCAGGGATGACCAGGATGCTGTGACCCTAAGCTGAAACAAGTTGAAGAGGACTTTTTTGTCAGCTGCAGCACATCCTGACTGGATGTTTGCAATTAGTATGCGTCTTTCATCCTGGCATAAGATTTCAAGCAATTAAATAAACTGATTACCGTGTTGGCTACATCCATCTCTGAAGCCTGTTTTTCCTTGGGGCAACCCATACAGCCCCACAATTTTTGACTGATCTGAACTGCTAAACATTTGTATTAAAAAAGGAGGGAACATTATCAGACCGACTCTAGGCCAAAGGTACCTCAATACAATGCAGAGCTGTTCCCCAGGCAGCTCCTGAAACAAACCCACCCCACCGGACCTCCATCAGGAGCCTTACCGTCCGCAGCACTGAAGTACTCTGGGTTCACAGAGGCATACAACACTCCATTCCCCAGCCTGCTGTTGTTTCTGTCAAAAAAAAAAGGAAAGAGATCAGGTTGAAAACCCTGTCTCCATACACCTCTAGATAGGCTTTCATTTCTGTTGCATCTGTTTTATTTGCTCTCTCTCATGAATATCCGGGAGACACTTGAAGACAGAGCTGACTGCTATGGGAGCTGTTGCCTGAACTCCTGATTCAGGCCTGGGTGGGCCAGCAGACATTTGGGGACATGATGCTGGCTTCTTTGGTGGCCTCAGATTAGAGATTTTTTTTGGTAGCAGAGATGAACTCGGGAGCTTGCACTTGCGAGGCAGGTGGTGGCACCCCTGAGCTAAATCCCTAGCCCTCAGATTAGAGCTTTTAAAGAAACATTTGTTTCTTTGCTTCATTGGAAATTACAAGGCTTATTTGATCCCAAGGGCTAAACCAGCACGCTTGGAAAAACTCTGCCTATGCCACAAGTATCTGTGCCAGAATAGCTAGGAAGGGAAAGATGGGTACTCAGAAAAAACATAGTTTTTGTTGTTTTGCTGTCAATGTTCTCTTTTCCTGTGAAGGATGTTTGGCTTCAGAATTATGTCCAACAGGCACAGTATTTTTGCAAAAGGACAACTTTCCCTTGGGTTCAGATCACCAGATCCCTGGGTACAAACACAGTCTGCACTTGGCCCTGGTGCTCACCTCCTCCTGTGGAAGACATACAGCATTATCACCAGCCCTCCCACGATCAACAGGATGGCGACGGGCAGAGCGATGATCAGATGGATGAAGTTTTCATAGGATGCTGCGGAGAGGAAAGGAAACAACACACCCTGTCACGAGCTGAGCAGTCTGCCCATTTCGTCTCTTTATATTCTGTGGGAAGTATGAAGAAAAATCACTGAAAACGCTTTTGTCCTGCCCTAGGAGCCCCTGAAGGTAAATGGCATCAGAAATAACACAGCAGGGGCCAGGGATTTAGTTCAGTGGTTCTGCCATCTGCTTCGCAAGTGCAAGGACCTGAGTTCGATCCCTGGTATGAAAGAAAGAAGGGGGGGGGGAGCAAACACAACAAATTATTGGAGAAAAGGTTAAATAAGTGCAGAGTGAGGTATATACTTTTAAAATGCAATGTATTTTGGTATTAATAAGCTCAAGTGATGGACTGAAGGAAAATAATCTTTAAATGAAGTCTGTTCACTCTTAATGGAACACATTCTTGTTTAAATAAAATGAAAAGAGAATCATACATTTACAGTGCCACATTAATGCTTATCTGTTTTATCGTTCCAGAGACAATTTCAAATGAACACACACACACACCCTACTGGATGGCACCCCTGGTCAACACTCTGAGCTTGCCACTTTTAAAGCTGGAGATCACAGAACTTGCTGCAGAGTTGTCACCAGAACTTGGGTGACAGGTGACAAAGTGGGCACTAGTGATTCCAATCTGCATCCTTGCCCATGTGCCCCATGTGAGAAATCAGCGCGTGAACAGGTGGAGGAAAGTGGACCATACACACAGGAGGACGCAGAGGGAGGGGAAGGACAGAGGGGGAAGGTCAAGGGATGATAGTTCCTAGGGCAAAGTTCCTTTCTCCTGAGTACTGAAAGAGAAAGAAATGCTTCTCTAGGGATAAAGAGTGTTCCAGGCAGAGGGATGGCTTAGATCTCTAAGCCTGGATGATCCTGGAAAGAAGTCAGGGCTGGGTGACAAGGGGCACTGTCCAACCTAAATGGTTTCAACTCCATTCTGTAGATTGAAAGAGTCCGTGAAAACTTTCAAAGCCAGCAATGAAATGGTCAAATTCATGGACAGGGGAAATGGCTTTGCTGGAAGACAGACTGGGGGTGCTGGCCACTGCCATGTGAGGGGAAGCTGAGTGGGAATGCCACACTCCTGGACAGTCGGCGTTACTGAGTCTGGACTTAAGGAAGAAACCATTGCTCCTTTTCTACAAACAAGCAAGTTCAGAGATGACCTGGCTTTCCCAGATCACACAGGTAGCTGGTAAGAAAGGAATGGCCTCAAATCAAAAGTCCAGCCTTCCTGCAGCCAGAGCTCATCACATCCCCAAGACACAGGCAAGCTGGAAGTTCTGAGCTATGGCAGTGGCATCAGCCATGGACAGGGTAGATTCCTGAGATCCTGAGAAGGCAGAATCCACAAGACTTGGGTTGAATTGAAAAGTGAGTATCTGGAGAGAAAGAAGAGCAGAGTATTGAGCATCGAGGTGCGATTCCTTGTTTGGGTGGCCAGGGGTCTACGAAGCCACTGAGCTAAGGAACCTCCGAAAGAGAAAGGAGGTGTTCTGAGGGCACCAATTTGGAGATTAGTTTGTGTGCAAGGACCTGTAGTATCTTCTGGGTACCAACTGGAGATATCTACTTGGAAATGTACTTAGAACTTGGAAGTCACCGCGGACCAAGTTACATGGATGCTAAGTCACCTGTCCCTGATTATACTGCCACTAAAAACTCATTATCTGTATTCTTTAGAGACTATTAAAGCTGCTTTAGCTTTTTAATTAAATATATTTCTGTGAAATTAAAGATATTTTATCTTCCAAAATGAATGCAGGCTCCTACATCTTCCAATTCCTGAAAATACTCAAAAGGCAATAGGAAGCTAGTAGGCTTTTCTTTCTTCCTCCTGAGGGCTGTTTCTTATATTTGTATCACTTGTGCTACTGGTCAGGTTGTACTGTGTTCTTTTCAAGCTTCGCATTTCAACAGGGACATGGAGAAACTGGAACCCATCCAGAGAAGAGCAAAATGATTAAATGGCTAGAAAATTGGCCTCTGCAACTGGGCTACAAGAAAAGGCCAAAAGACCTAAGAATATTTAATTTGCAGAAGAGAAGTCTGAAGGGTAATTTAACAGTATTAAAGAACAAGCAGGGCTCCTGAAAAGAGAGCAGGTGCCAGAGAGCTTCCAAAGCTTGCATCTCCTCTGAGGATTGAGACTAAACTGCAGCAAGTCTTGTCTGATGTAAGGAAAAGCTCCCAGCAGCAAAGCCAGCATGCAGTTTCAATTTCCCTGTGGTTGATGCCAACTTCTGTGGGAGAAACTCCACGGGAGATGCTTGGATTCCCCAGGGACACCCACGCCCTCAGGGTTAGAAACGGGACACAGGCAGACAGGGACATCTTCTCTCCCAAGACAAGACAAATTCACTGAGCCTCAGAGGCCAAGGCCGCTGTTTCACAGAGCAGAGCCTGACACCAGACCCTCAGCCCCGGCTCCACTCTCAGGGACAGAGAGGGTAGGGGGAGATGCTCCTCCTGACATGGCTCTATCGTGAGTGTTCTGGGGGTGGAAGGGGGGCCAAAGCTGCTGTGGTTTGCTCAAGGGTCCCCAAAGGCCCATGTTTTGAAGGCTTGGACCCCAGCCTGGTCCAGGGGGAGAAAGTGAGGTTAGGGGGTGTGGCCTCAGAGGGGATGCTGGGGCCCAGGCCCCTTCCCGGCTGTTTCCTGGTCACTGTGAGGTAAGCAGCTTCGCTCTCCCCATACTCCTTGCTGTTCTGTTCACCCCCATCATAGGCCCAAAAGCACCAGAGCCAACTGACTCCACATGGAAACTTCTGAGACCATGAGCCAAAACAAACCTTTCCTCCTTTGAGGTTGATCTGCCACAGGTATATTTCTCACAGTAACAGAAGCTAACACATAAGTTAACCGGTAAGAGTAGGTTAAGTGGACGAAATGAGAGAATGCAAATTATTTCAATTGACAGAATTATTTGCTAAGCATCTGCTTGCCCCTAAAATGCGAACCCAGGCGTGGTGCAGTGCCAGGTGCATATGCGTTGGCTGGTAGTGTGCAGTTCTATTTGGCAGTATTCTTCTACTATCAGCCCCTATGAGAATTTTCAGATATCACAACTCTGAACATCTGGTGCTCAATACATGGACTACTGAAGTCCTTGTTTTTAAAAAAAATTTAAACTGAACATAAAAATTATGTATTACCAATAATCTACAACACGTTTTGAAATATGTATATGCTGAGCTAATCAGCACACATGTCACCTCACATCATTATCCATCTTTTGTGGTAGGAATATCTACCTCACAAAGATAATGTTATCAGTAACCATAGCACATTGTACAATTGATCCTTTGAGCGCATGTCTCCTGTCCCAACATCTCAAAACCAGCCTCCCCCTCCCAACTCCTGGTAAGCACCATGCTACTCTGTACTTACACGAGCTCACCATTTTTAGATCCCGTGTATGAGATCACACAGTATTTATCCTTTTGTGCCTTTACTTAACACAATGGCCTTCATCCTTGTCTGTGTTGTTCCAAGTGATACGCTTGCCCTCCTTCTTAGAGGTGAATAGCATTCAGGTGTGTGCATGTGTACTTTTTTTAACCTGTTCATCTGCAGTGAACACAGGAGTGCAGGTATCTCTAAGAAACATGGCGTTCATTTCCTTTGGGTATTCACCCTAGGGTGGGTCTGCTGTATCTATTGAGTCCTTATTTATTTATTTTTTCTTTCTTTTTTCCTCATTGAGTTTATTGGTACATTTTAGGTACACAGCAGTTACATTCATCATTGGGATCTTGTACCTTTACATGACAGGTCTTGCTTCTCATTTTTTCCCCTTGCTGAGTCCTTATTTTAATCAGACTCCAGCTAAAAGATGCAACAATTCAGACACTAGGAAGATCAGCCCACCGGACCCAAAAGTACTACCATTAACTGAGGCTGAGCTATAATTCTTTCCTTTCTTTCTTTTTAAACACTGGGGATTGAACCAAGACTTTTCACTTACATGAACTCTATTGGTGAGCTGCATCTGCAGCTTTTTTTTTTTTTTAAAAAAATCTATTTTGATATAAGATTCAAATTGTCCAGACTAGCCTTGAACTTGTGATCTTCCTGCCTCAGCTTCCCAAGTGGCTGGGATTACAGGGATGTGCCTCCATGCCTGGCTGGGTTGCTGCTTTCTTTTCCTTGAGGCAGGGTCTCAGTCTGTAGTTCAGTTCAGGCTGGCCTCAAACTTTTGATCCTCCTACTTCAGCCTTCTCAGTGCAAGGATTGCAGGAGTGTACCAACACTCCCAGCTCTGGGCTGTGACTGTTAACGAGGAGTAGTAGGAACACTGTTGCCACAAATCTGATCTCAATATATGAACATCAAATTATCTGAAATATCAGTTTCTAATAAGAATATTTAAAAATTCAGTAAGGATATGATTTCATCAAACAAGACTAAATATTCTTTGTTAAACAAGTACTGTACATGGTCCTAATTGTGCTCAGATATTTTACAAAATTCAAATTTAAAATCAAGACTGTAATCCCAACACTCTGGGAGGCTGAGGCAAGAAGAACCCAAGTTTGAGGCCATCCAGGGCAATTTCGCAAGACCCTGCCTGAACAACAGACTGTGTGTATAGACCAGTGTGAAGGCCCTGGGTTCAATCTATGGGACCATTAAAACAAAACAAAACCCCACAAAACTGAAATCATCATATAAAACAGCCTTCACAGAATTCAGTTTTGTTGATGGTTTGAGCAAAACATCATCCAGTCTGTGCACAAGACAGCAAGCCCTGTGTGCATCGATGAATGCTCGTGCTTTCCATGTGCAACCATACTTAACAACGGGAAGTTAGGATCCCCACTGCCTGGATGTCCTGAGATTCCTGCTCTTGAGCAGTGGGACAAGAGGATCCGTCCTAGAAGTCTGAACCTCAAATATGAACCTAACAAGTTTGCTGCCCAGGCAAGAGACAGGATGGTCAATTCAATGCAAAATCGCTCTGAACACAGGCCAGGGTGAAAGCAAAGATCTCACCGGCTCTCCAGGGCTGTACAACCACCAACAAGGCTTAGCTCTTCCAGCCCATCACATGCAGTAGGCATCCCAGGGCCAGCACTTGCCCAGGCTGAGCTCTCAGGAAGGCACTGGCTGCTCAGTGAGACTCAGTTCTAACAGATCAGAGAGCCTCAGCAACCCGGGATTCCCAAATCTTGGCCCAAACAGCTTTCAGCTTTACCACGCCACTCCTTCGGCAAGCCTTACTTTTGGCCGGGACATAGAAGAACACGGGATCTGTCCATGAGCCATTCCCAGAGAGGGAGGTAGCCTGAATCCGGGCTGTATAGTTTCCTGGGTTCAGCCGGTTGAGCTTGGCCCCTCCATACTTCCTGTACTCCTGTCTCGACACACATTCTCGCTGATCCTGGGGGAAATAAAACATACGTGTCGATGTCCTACACACAAGAGACATCTGGCACCTGCCAGCTCAAGATGCTGGTGATGCTTGGTATCCAACCTTGGGGCACCCCCAGAAAATCCCAATTGGCAAAAAAGAGAAAGAAAACTAAGTCTTCAAAAGTGGTCAGTCCTTGAGTTACTTACAGCACACCCCAAACTGGTAACCATTCTAATAAGCAAACAGAACTCCAGAAGAGTTAAAAGACATTAAGGCTGATGTGGCTTACAAGGGAGATCATTCTCTGCCTGCACTGTTCGGAAGGGTGAGAAGCAGCCCAGCTCCTTGTGTGCTCTGGAGTGCTGCTCAGAGAGCACGGGGCTGCTGGAGCGGCCACAGCCCCCAGCATTCATGGCCTCCTCTTGATGTTTGAGGTTAAGCTAGTCAGGAGGTAACCTGTGCTGTGCCATGCTACACCAACTATGAAGGAAATGCATGCAGCCACAGACCACTGCCCCAGTCATACCTCAACTTGTGATCCGTACTTTATCTCATACATTAGAATCAGTCCATTGGGGTTCTCAGGTTCCAGCCACTTTAAAAAGATGGAGTTTTCAGGCCTTGACTCCCATGTGACGGGGCCAGGAATGTCATCCGCTCCTTCTGTTTAACAATGAAAAAAAATGACAAATTGGATTAGGGTCCTCAGGAAGGAAGACAAATGCTAGGCTAAGCCGTGAGTAACCCCAGTAAGCATGAGGGCCCCTCCTGAGGTGGATCTACCCACGGACTCATGTGCCTCCATGTGTCACGGTGCCCTCCCTGCTGTCTGGCTCCGCCTAAGAGAAGCCTGTGACCAAGCACAACAGGAGATTCCCCGCATCCTAAGTAACTTCTCCTCGGCTGCTACTACTTGCAGAAAGCACCCGTCTAACACTGCAGCGCTGCATGGGGGCTCCAACCAACTGCAGCGGTGCATGGGACCTCTGGGCTGTGACACGGGTCCTGTGCAGTCCATGTCTACACAAAATAACTGCGATGACTCCTACGTGGGTGTGAGGAACGGTTACAGCACCAGCATGTGAGCTTTCTCTCCCCTGGCCAGTTACTCCCAGCCTTGGTCTCGAGGAGTGAGGGTATGACGGTTTAGATCTAGAAGGTTCCTGAAAACTCCTGTGCGCTCAAGAGACAGGCTTCTGGGAGGTGACTGGATCACAGGGATGCTGCACTCGTCAGTGGTTCATCCACAGTGGGACGAGCAGCTGAAGGCGCTGTTAGGAGGTGTGGTCTTGTTACAGGAAGCTCACTAGGGGCCCAACCTGCATGGGCGTGTCTCCTCCCCAGCTCCCCTTTCTCCTGTTTCCCGATTGCCATGGGTGAACAGCTCTCCTCTAGGATGGGCCCTTTCACCCTCACATTTCTGGATTTGAGTCTGCCCACCACAGGAACCAAAATAAACCTCTCCTCCTCCAAGTTGTGGGTGTTCAGTATTTTTCTCAGCAACAAGTGACTAAGACAGGGGGTTCACCTGAGTGAAAGTAGCTACAACAGTCTGGTTCTGACATGTCACCCAAAGGCCCAGGTGTTAAAGGGCTGGACCCCAGCATGTGGTGGAACCTTGAGAAGGTGGGGCCTAAAGGAAGGACGTGGGTGCCCTTGAAAGGCATGCTGAAAACCCAGCTCCTTCCTCTCTGTTTTCCAGCCTCCATGAGGTGAGCAGCTTTCTTCCCCCTTACCATGATGCATACTGTGCTACCATAGACCCACAGCAACCAGGCCAAGTGACCACAGACTGACACCTCTGAGGCCAGGAGCCAAAAGAAACATTCCCTCCATTTCAGTTGTTTACCTTAGGTATTTTGCCACAGTAACTGGAAGCTCACTCACACCTCAGGTTACTGGAGATGGTAATGAGTCTGTGAGAACTCAGCAAGGAACAAACTGATTTACTTGTGCACGAAGGGAGCAAAGGCTGAAATGCACAATGGAGACCAAGAGGGGACCCTGCAGGGAGCTCCACGACAGGAACATGGGCTCTGTTCCCCAGCTGGCTCGTCTACCATGCTGCCGCCCAACCATGGCACATTCCTCAGTAAGACTGAGTCTAAGACTCTCATTGTGGATGTCAGAGTTGGCTCCGGGGCTAGCTGGATCACGCCATACCTGCGGGCATGGTTCTTGCAAAGACAAAGTTAGAAGCACTGCAGCCCAGCTTCTCGGCCTCGTGGTTACAACTGTGGATGTCAATGCGGTACAAAGTAAAAGGTCGGAGGTTTGAAATGACAGTTCTTTCCTTATTATCCACTCTGCTCTCAAAGAAAGGGTATTCCGTCTCCAGCTCCTCTGGATCTGTGATGTTGTAGGTGTCGGCCACCGTGGTGTTCCTGCTTCGGCTGGACATGGTGGTGTTGGCCACTTGCATAACATCTCTCCGCTTCCTTTCAGGTCTGCAAGAAGAAAGAAGCTTGCAAGTGCTCCTGCTTCTTTTGTCTTCTCTTTGACCAGAGTAAGACCAACAGGAAAGAAAAATCTTCACTGTGGGTAAGCACCATCAAATAGCAGGGGATTTCCTTGCTGCTTCTGTCCCACACCCTGAGAAACAGCACACACACTCTGGCCCTGGCTCCTGTAGTGCTTACTTGATTACATCCACAAGCAAACAGTGCCTCAGCCGCTTGGCCGGGCAGAATGCTGTTTCCTCAGAAGCTAGGCCATCTGTCACAGACCTCATGGTTAAGCATTGAAGGGTTCAAACCTGTTCACTACACACTAAGATTTATTGGGGGCTGTTGCTCAGGCTCCAGAAAGATGGGACAGAAAGAATTCAAAGGCCCACAGTGGTGCTATCTTTGATTCCTTCTGAAATAAAGTGAAGATGCCCCGATCTGGGCAGTGAGCATGAGCAGCCCCACAGCCCTTCCGTGAGGGCTCCTGCTGATCGACACCCACTCTTTACCCCAGCCTACACTGTGAACCACACTCCTGTGGGTCTCCCAAGCCTGCCTTTGCCTGCTGCTCAGCAGTGGGCACCTGTGTTCTCCTCAATATCCTGCCCATGAGAGGGAGAAGTCTTTGTCATGGATTTGAGTAAGGCTTGGAACAAAAACAAAAGAAAAGCAAAAAGGAACACACAAAATCTCCCAAGAAGGACACTACCACCCCAGCAAGCAGATAAAGGTGTGACCCTCTAATTGCTGCTTTAGTGGGATATGAGAAACTGGGCTTTAAGGATCCTCCAGGGCATCTTCATAGTGTCCTCCCACTTACATGAACCAGGAAAAAGAAAGAATATGAGAGGAGTATCCGGTCAGGGTGACAGCATCCCTCAGGTCATGGAAAACAGGGGGAGGCGAGGAGCAGGGTGCTGAGGCCACCAGCTGGTGAAGCAGTCTTATGAATGGGCAAAGGGCCAAGTACAAATGGGATGAACCCCAGCTGGTAAGAAAACCAAGGGTCCAAGGAGAGGAAGAGGCCAGAATAGGGGAACTGTGTCAGTGTCCCTTAGAGAAGAACACTAACTGCAGAAGCACAAGTTCCCAGGCATCCTGGGAGCCCTGTGAAGGCTCAGGGGATGCCTGGCAGACTTCTTGCTGGCCCCTAGTCCAAGATCTGAAGGGAAAGGTAGGGGCAAGGGAAAGGGCCACTGGCTCCCAACTAGCCTGGCTCACGGATTCCCTGCTGATGTAATGTAGTGACACTCAGGCCCCACCAAAGACAGAAACTGCACCACACTGCGAGAAACTCATTCCACAAGGTGGAGAAACAAGGTCAGGGGTAGGTGCATTTGTTTTTACAATGCTGGAGAAGAGTTAGAAAATGAGGCCAGTGATCCACCATCCTCACACCGTGCAAACTAAGCAACCCACCAACTACCTTCCTGGAAGGGAAGAACACAAGAAACCACATTTACTGCTGGGGAGATCATTTTCAACACATTACCAAGAAATTTCCTGCCTTCCTTTCAAAACACACATGACACACACTTGTGTTTTTAAGTAAGACGCAGCAAAATGATACAGTGCCTTACTCCTGCTCCAGTCCACCACTGAACTGGGATTATACCAACCATTAAGTACACTCAATGGTTCATTTATTTGTAAACACCACACCTTTGGAGGCTGCATGGCTGCCACTACTGACACTAATTCAGGGATCAGGAGCAGGAAACAACAACAGAAAGTCTGCAGGAAGATAAAGGGTGGGGTAAGCACAATGGCCCATGCATAATACTTTGTCAACAGCTAAATCCAAATGGTGTAACCTAGAGCAAACACTTCTCTCACTCATCTGTGCCACACAACCTACTTCTATTGGAAAATCTTTTACTTCTCAATATCTGTCATTTTAGCTACAAAAAACAAATGATGTGATTTGAAAAATAAAGATGGTGGCCAATGAAGGGCATTCTGTACCACGTATGACTTCGGAAAGCAACTTTACAAACTCTAGCTTCCAATCTACTTCAGACACACAGCATGCTGGACCATGCAGAAGGAAGTGAATTGGTTATAAATCGGTTGTGTTTGGTTTTCACCTTCAAGTAAATCGTTCTTAGAATGAACTGAATGAAACTGAAGTAGCTTTGGGACAGGTTAGCTGTAAAACAAAACAAAACAAAAAAAGACTTCATGATCCAGTCCTTCTGGGTGCTCATTTCTGCAAACTTGTCAGAACTTGTATGGACATCAGATTTAAGCCTTCGTAGGAGGCAAACAAAAAACATTAAGTTCTTAATAAATCGTGTCCTCTCACTATGGACAAAATATGGTTATTTATGTTCATACTGCAGAAAAAGAGAGCTGCCAAACTGGAATTGTTTTAGGAGAAAGAAAGTCAGACTGTGGGGATGGATGTACACATTCGTCATGTTGGATATGGCACAAAGGAAACTTATTTTGAGCCTAATCACACAAATGCTGTGTGTCAACCATATCATTCAATCTGGTGTTCTGTATCTGATGACAAAAAGGGATCATTTTGTAATCAAAACCAAAAGCAAGGGGCCTTTTAGAAGGCTTTTCTGTTATGTTTTGCATCCCAAAGGCTCTTGTGTCAGAAGTGCAGTTCCCAGGGTGGCAGTATGAAGAAGTAGGTGGTAGAACCTTTAGGGGATGGGACCCGCTGGGAGATAATCCGGTAACTTCGGGTACTTGTTCTCAGGTGGGATTAACATAGACTTCAGGAGAAAGTAAGCTGTTCTCCTGAGAGTGGGCTCTTAAAGAAGAGTAAGGCAGACTGAGTCTCTCTGGCGTCTTGCCTGCATGGGCTCATCCTGCTCCTAAGTGCTCTCACTATGGGGCTCTGCCCTGTCATGCAGCCCAGGGGGCCCTCACGCTCTTCAACTTTCAAGCTGTGAGCTGTACACACTACCTAGTCTAAGGTATTTTGTTATAACAACAGAAAATTGAAGTACTGAATTCAAATCACTGACTTACAACTGGAATCTCTGAGGTTGGCTGGACAACACAACAGTGTAGCCAACAGCCTTTGATGGAGGATAAACAACTTCCTGGGCCGGTAGGTGTAGCTCAGTGGTAGAGTGCTTGCCCAGCATGCATGAGGCCCTAAGTTTCATCCTCAGCACTGAAACAAACAAAACAAAACAACTTCTGCCAAGCCTACCAGGGAGTCTTTACTCATCCATTCCTCCTGCCCCTGCTGAGCCTCTGCTGACCCAGCTGGACAGGAAGGCATAGGGAAGGCACAGATGGGAAAGAGCCTTCAGGATGTTAACCAAGACTGAAAAGAGATTCTAAACTAATTAGGGTATCAGAAAGGTCTCAAAACTTCAAGGAGTTCTAGTTCCTAAGCATCTTTGAGCTTCTTCCAGTCCTTAAGCTTTTAGGTTCCAGAATCCACACATGATACAGAGACACCACAGTGAGAAAACAGCAGTGCACATTAAAGCTCAAGGCTAACACTTGGACAGCAGCACTAAGATCCTATCTTCCAGCCAATGGGAGCTGCCCCAGCAGGCAGGCAGAGGCCCCCTGGGATCCTGGGCGTTTCAGTTGTAGCTTAGAAACTGCTAGAGAGGAAGGGAGGGGAAGACAGTTAGGAAGCAGTAAGCAGTTTCATTCTCAAGAGGAAATAGCACCTTCAGTTCTGAAAGGCCTTTCTTTCCTACTTTACAGATTCTCCTAAGTAAGACTTTTCTTTGACCATTTTGCAAGTATCATAAAAGAAACTTGACAGAGGGGGTAAAAACTCTTTAAAATCCATTTGTCATTACAACCTAAGAAAGTCTTTAAGGACAAAGTACTGGAAAGATGGAATAAATAACCACTACGCACTTCCAAGGCCTCTCAAAGGACGAGGTCATGCGAGGCAGAGAGCTGGCAGCTGAGCACCATGGGGACAGGGACAGACACCTCACGGTTCGGGGCTGGTCTGATTCCTGCTCTCCACCCAGTGTTCAGAAGCAAGGCTGTTTCCAGTGCCGGAAAGGGTGTCACGGGCCACCACTCTGTGTCGAGCTCCTACCCCAACACTCTCAGGCTACTCTACTGAGGTATCTGCATTTTTAAAAAACCATTTGGTTTGCTCATTTTGTTGTTCTGCTAAAGTGAAAAGTTAAAATAAAGAAATTTATTACATGAACTCTTGCCACATGTGTATATGGATTGAATTAGTGCCTCCCAACTGCTAGCAAGTGCTCCAGCACTGGACTACACCCCAGCCCTTATAAAACTGTATTTTGTGACAGGGTCTTGCAAAGTTTCCTAGGCCAGCCCTGAAGTTGTGACTCTCCTGACTCAGCCTCCTGAGCAGCTGGACTGCAGATGTGCCACCCCACCTCGCCTTTTAAGTGTGCAGTTTAGTGAATTAATTGCATTTACAATGCTGTGCGGCTATTGCCATTATTTCCAAAATATTTTCATCATCCTAAACAGAAACTCTTACCAATTACAAAATAATTTCCTATTTCCTTCCCCACCCTACTCCCTGCTCTTAGTGAACTCTATTCCACTACACATTTGCCTGCTCTACATGTTCCAGACACAGGAGAACATGCAGTGTTGACTCCTGGGTATGTGGCTTTGTTTTGCTCGGCTAGAGTCCTCGGGGTTCATCCGCGTTGTGTCACGAGCCCGACGTCCCGCTGTCCATGGAGGAATACTACCCTGCTGAATGGCTGCACTGTCTTGTTCACTGTTGAATGGGCCCCTGAGCTGTTTCCAGGTTTTTCCTACTATGAACAGTGATGCCACTGAACACTTCCTTTCTTCCACTTTTGTCCCCGCTTTGTAGACAATGAGGTCCAGCGCAGGAGCAGAGACTCCTTGAGGCAAAGCCCATTACTCTGGAATGCACCTGCTACGCTGCACCCCAACCTGCCTGTGAACGATGCCCAGGGAGGCTGGACCACTTTCAAAAGCAACTCAGTTTCTCCTCTTGTTTCATTCCCTCTTCTGCCAGGCCGATGGGGGCAGCAGGGAAGAGTGAGAAGGGCAAATCCTGGCTTTTCCTCCGGCTTATGGCCACGAGTACCAGAAAGTGAAGCCCACTCAGCCTCCTCTCCCCATCTCTGAGGGACTCCACCTGCTTTCCGAGGGAGGGGGTGTGATTGAGCAGCTCCCACTGCACCCCAAATCCGAGCACGGCTCCCCTCCCCCTCAGGGCTAACCAGCTCCCCCAGGGGCCCTACTCAGCCAAGCAGGATGATCCTTTCTCATTTCTCCTCAGGGGTCCGTGTCACAGCCCGCATCACCCAGTGGAGAGAAAAGCAACAGAAACCAGCCCAGTAGCACCAGCCTGGGGACATTTTCAAATGGTTGGATACCTGGGCACAAAGATGGAGTTGTGCAGGAAATTCTCAAACACTTTCCGGTACTCGGCCTCCTCCTTCTCAGCCTGCTTCTCAGCTTCAGTTTTGGGGCAAGCGCAGCAGGGCCCTTTCTCTCCACCACATACTTCAGTCTTGGGATTCTCTGTGACCTCTTCGATGTCAATGGTGCCATCGGCGTACTTTCTGATGGGGATTTTGTCTTCGAGGAAAACAGAAGCCAAGAGGAGAGTGGGAATGAGAGCCAGGTAGAACACGCTTTAAGGACAAAGCAGAGCTGTTGGCACCGTTAATTAAAAAGGTGGCTGGTTTCCAAGACAAGGACTTATACTTTTACCTAACCAGGGCTCAGGTCCACACAGTTTCAGCTGCCACGGGGCACCTGTGCATCCTCACCTTTGGAGCAGTAATTGTGCCGGTACAGGTAGCTGTCCTGGGGCTGCCGCTGCCAGCGTACAATGTAATAACTCAGGTTCCCGTTGGGTAGAGACGGGGGGTTCCACTTCACAATGAGCTGAGAGGAGGAGTTTGATGCTGAAAGGACATCCAGGGGAATGGAAGGGACTGGAAAGGAGAACAGAGAACATTTCAGAAAATAAATGAACATAAGGTCGACGCTATTAGGGACTCAATGCAAATCAACAGGAAGTTGCAAGTATGGCCTGGATAAGAAGATAGCAATAAAAATGGAAACACAAAGTGAAAACTGAACCTTGCTTTTGAAAGGGTATTAATTTAAGTGCCAACATTTCCTTTTATAGCATCTCTTCTCGGGTAATCTCTGTGAAAACAAACATTGCTGAATTGCAAATGGAAAAGGTTGCCAGGGCACAGACAGGTTTGGAACAGACGATTTAAAATCTACAGTTCATTCAAACACCTGAGTTTTCTCTTTTATTACAACTGCCATTCTCCAATGTGTTTAACTCTGGCGCTTTTACCAAATGGTAAAACTGACTGATTTGGATTTCACCTGGAATTTCGAATCTCTGATAAAAATGGCGAGAAGGTGAAAGGAAAGGTGGAAGGAGGGTGAGGCTGACAGATGTGTGTGCGCGCACCTATGCAAAGGGGGTCGGACAAAAGGCGGTGAGAGAGCAGGGGCCACAGTCCTGCAATCTGCTTCTGGGGACTGACTGGGACACAACACAGGCAAGCAAAAGACTGTTACCGGCAAAAAGAACGCGGATTTATCAACCTTGACTTCCTGCGGACATCCAAACTTAAGTCCAGAGCTGACATGTGCAGAAAGGGAAAATGCATCCCTGAGCCACTGAAATTGCATTCCCATGGGGTTCACACACACACACAAACAAACAAACACTAATTTGGGCAGTTTTTCCTGTGAAGGAGGCACCTTCACAGTGTGCAGTGAATCAAAAGGTTCACCCAAGCTGAAGGGACAGTGAGCTGGAACATAATACAGCATACAGATCTGAGCATCTTTAAGGAATAATACTTCAGGAAAAGGTTATGACTAATGCTAGCTTTTCCAGAGAAAATATAACCACTTGATCCTTGGCCAATTTACATTTTCTAAAAATAAGTACTTCAAAAATAAACAGCTTATTCCTAGATATTTCAATGATAGGTGTCTCACACACACAAAAAAATGTCCAGACAAACAAACAGAAACACAAGAACAAGTTATAATCTGTCCCTAGCACTTGTAAGGACAGGGTCAAGATGCAGGGGACTGACTCATTCTGTACAGGGATTGGTTTCCTATCATTTGGAGAAAGGAAATAAATTTCTTAAGAATTTCCTCTGGTAAGGAGAAATTCTTATTTTTCTCCAACTTGCTACAGTGATTGGCTGGGAAGGATTACTTCCAAATTTTAAGATGAGTAACTTAAAGTAACTTGTTGCATGTGAAATTCTGCTATACCACACCATGCCTAGGATGAGAAGCATGTGCCGGTTTTATTTCTATGAATGCTTTAGTGTCAGTGACATAGTTTTTGTTGCTTATAGGGTAACTGGAATGGGGCAGGGGAAGGGAGGAGGAGGTGGGTGTATATGAGTGAAAGGCATTCCCCAGTATTTTTTTTCTCACTCTCTGTGCTATTTGTGGGGGGTGAAGTTATGGGTATTTAAAAACACCCTGCTTGTTGTAACGATAGCTAAGAATGTTTATCAGTGCTACACACTGTGTCCCCATTTGTGGAAACCCTAACCCCTGAGGTAATAGTATTAGGAGGCGGGGTCTTTGGAAGATGATTAGGTCATGAGGATGGAGGCCGAATAAATGGCATTAGGTAGGTGCTCTTATGAAAAGGGTATCTAGGGTTCCCTTGCCCAATTTTCCTGCTATGTGAGGATATATTAGCAAAAACATGGCTTTCCATGAACCGGGAAGTGGCTCTCACCAGACACCAAATGTGCAAGTGTCTTGATCTTGGGCTCCCTGCCCTCCATAACGGTGAGAAATAAATTTCTGTTGTTTATAAAGCATGAAGGCAATGGTATTTTTGTTACAGCTGCCCACATGGACCAAGACAGTGTGTCTTTAAAAATGAAGTGCACCTTGCTACTTCTAAACTAGTCACTATACACTTGGAAAACACACACACATTTGCGTCTACATTCTGAAGTTGAGAAATGAAGTACTTTAGAACATGAGGATAAGATGGAGAGGAGGAGAAACATTTTCATCAGTCAATATTTTGAACATCTACAACACATTAGTCTATCACTTTTCAACATTTACCTGCCTTCAAGGAACCTCTGTGTGGCCCCAGAATCAGGATGGAAACCAATGAACCACCAGACCTGAGTGGTACACAAATTAGCATGGCTTTGGTTCCCAGAGGGGCAAACATCAAAATAAACAAGAGCAACCACAATGGGCTACCCCGTCTGGCCTTCCAACAAAACCATCTGTCATGGTTTTGATCTGAAACATCTTGAAAGATGGCTATGTGGAAGGCTTAGTCCTCAATGCAGCAGGGTTCAGAGGTGGGTCTGTTCGAAAGTGATAGGCTCCTGAGGGCTCTGACCTCAGCAATGGCTTAATCTGTGGCTATAGTCATAATCTGTTGGGCTACTTGGAGGTGTCAGATGCTCTTGGGGACTCTTATCTTATCCCCGGTATCTTTCTCTACCTGTCTGTTTTCTGGCCACCAGGAGTTAAGCAGCTCTTTTACACCCCATCCACCATGATGTCACACTCAGAAATAAGGAGAGCAAAGGGACCATGGACTGAACTTCTAAAATGGTGAGCCAGAACAAATCTTTCTTATTTTAAAATTGTTTTCCTCAGGCATTTTTCCAGAGCAGTGCAAAGCTAAGACACCATGCTAGCATCCTGGAAGGTCCAGGCTCATGGGCACAGAAGAGGGAGACAAATGATGAAAGACGGTACCAAGTCCAAAAAAATGGCACAGGAGAACCTGAGGTGCTAGCAGTGGAAAAAAACATGCACCAGGCATGGTGGTGCGTATCTATAATCCCAGCCACTGGGAGGCTGAGGAAGGAAGAGTGCAAGTTTGAGCCCAGTCTGGGCAACTCTGTGAGACAATGTCTCAAAAAACAAAAACAAAACAAAAAAAACCCCATGAGGCTGGGGATGGATTCGATCCCTAGTACCACCCAAGAAAAAATATATAACAATATAGCATTATGCACTGATGAGAAAGACATAATACACATACTTTACTACCAGGCTACAACTACATTTTCTCTACACAGATACAGAGAGTTGACAGAGAAGCAGGGGCTGGCAAGGGCTTGTCTGGTACACGAATACCTGAAGCATTGGTGCGAATGTACAAGATTTCACTCTTGGCCCCACGGATGTGGTCGTTCTCCACCATGGTAAGGGTCACGGCCTTGACATAGACCGCATATTGTGTCCAGGGCTTCAGCCCATGCAGTAGGATGCCAGGCTCCACATCCTTGTTAGGAGGCAGGTCCACATCCACCATGTTCCAGCTGTTGGAGCCACAGGCATCCTGCCCGTCATATTCAGTGACATTTTTAAAGGGTCTGAAAGACAATCAATCAAGTGCACAAAATGTTCTGGGACTCTGACATCAAAGCTCTTAAAAACCTTTCCTAGCAGCTGACTGCATCACACTTTCTATAATGGGAGTTTCAAGTAAAATGAATAATCAATTAGATTTGTACAGAAGAACAGTATTAAGTAACTGGACTCTAGCATTCCCCAGTTACACAGTGCAGAAATGAAAACTCTGCCTCAGGAAGAACAAATTACCAGGTTTAAAAATATTGCCCCTTAAGAAGACATGCACATGCTACTGTTTTCTTTCCTTACCTGCAGCGATTTTTTTTCACTGTTGGGTACAAATAAGCAGTCATTTAATACAAACATCAGATTTGATAAAAATTGAGTTTTAGAGAAAATAGACTTTTCTATAGGAAAAAAAGTAGCTTCTAAAATCTGAGTTGTGCACAGCACATTTTGATGCTCAAATATCTTGTAATCTTTCAAATATTTAGTTTCCATATTGTCTCAGAAACTATCAGCTATTCCTTAGTGAAATTACCAGCTGACATTGCCAAAGTATCAAGGGCTTTTAAAGAGAACAGATAATTTTGTACAGATGCGTGGCCGGACAGGGATTCTGCGTGTATGAGATGAAAGGGCCACTGGTCACTGGCTCCTGAAACAGAGATTAACGACCTGCCTGCTGTTACATCATGAGATCATGAATGACTTCACATACACAAACGCCGAACATCTAGCAATCCCAAGCTCTCCATATTTCAGTGGCTGTGACACTTTCAGGACCCTGGCCCAGTAGGGGGAAGGGAGCCAGACCGTGCCCCTGGTGCCTTTGGCTTGCTAAAGGGAAGACAGGTACCTAGGACAGAGATGTATGCATGCAGATGGGAGTTGTGGGTAAAGGAATGACTCGGCAGACTAGGGGAATGGCCTCCATACAGGAGGTCCAGGAAAGAGCAAGCAGACCAAGCAGAGAGCTACTATCTGGAGGAGTGTCATGGTTGCACAGGCAGGCAAGTGTTGTCTGACAGCACAAGAAAAGCCCCCACTAGTTCTTGGAAGAAGTTGTGAAAGGGTGGAGACACAAGTCTCTGTCCCCTCTCCTTCCCATTTGGAGCTCATGATCTTGAGCAGTGACTGGGAGAGGCCTGTGGATTCAGTGACTGGCCAGTCTAGGGTTCCTCTCTTTTTGGCTTTTTTTTTTGGGTAGTGGGGATCAAACTCAGGACCTTCTGCTTGCAAAGCAGATGGTGGCACCACTGAGCTAACTCCCCAGCCCTAGGGTTCCATTCTTGTGGGGTGTTCCTGGTGTAGTGGTTCGTGGGCCTGAAAGCTGAAGCAATATTTCAACCAAGTCCGTCATCACAGTCGACTGCAGTTCAGACTGACCCAATCTAACAATCCAAGCTTTTCAACTCTTTAGGTAGAACTCATTCAAACATCTCTAATGGCCATAAACAATGGAAAGCCTCAAGCTATTCCTTTCCCGTTTATGGCTGTACTGATTGGGATGGAGCCACAGGACAGGTGGGAAGGGCACGTGAGGATGGAGCTGGGTCACTTGGCCTGATTCTCCACGGGCCCCTGCTGACTTCCTGTCCAGACAACACACACGACATCCAGACTGGCACAGCCATTCCCAGGCCTGCCAGCGAGTATCGCTCATTGCAGACACTCACGCCTCCTTGTAGTAAACGGTGAAGCTGATGAGATCCCTGTAGTCCGGGGGCCGGTACCGGCGCCAGGTTATGATAATGCGGTTCTTCCACGTGGTGGTGGAGGTGAAATGCAGCACGTCGCTTTCACCTGGGGCATAGAGGTGCATCCATGAGTGACACAGGTCTCTGAAAAGACACCTATCTGGGCCCTACCCACCTCCTCCCCAAAGATGGCCGTCCGTGCCAAGTCCCTGCCTGGATATTGCAGGTGGCATTCTTGTTTTCTACTAACAACTCATGCATTTCACTGTGGAGATCTGAGGGTTTCATTATTTTAGTTCAGTAAGTCGCTCTGGCTACGTGCCCAGGGAATGGGTCATGAACTGGTGACTATTTCTTAACCTGAAATAAGGGATATCTCAAGAAAAGAGGTGGCCATCTCTTTGTGTGTTTTCCCCAAGATGCTGGCTGCCAAAGGAGGCCTGGTAAAGTGACAGTGACCTCAGGCTGGACCAAGTCTTCTGAGAATGACACCTGCTCTGTGGGTGTCTGCCTGGTCCTGCACAACCACACAAGGCAGGTACAAGTCTCCAGGTGAGTCACTGAGAGAACTAACTCTTAGTCTGAACTGGAAATAAAGCTGGAATTCCTAGAAGGCCTCCAGCGGGAGGCCCGGATTCCTTAAAGCTGCTGCACTGGGCCATGCCCTCTGTGCTCCAGAGGAGGGGAGCCCTGGCTGCTGTGGTCCAGAAGATGGCCCTGAGCTCCTCATGTTCTCTGCACCAGATTCCACCCGCACTGAGAACCAAGGAAGCGCTGACTGCTGCTATACCCTTCAGGAGACCCTAAACTCTCTGACCACCTGTCCTCTCCTCTGTGCTCCTTGAATCCCATCATGCACCGAGGAGGTAGAGCAGGGAGACGGAAGGCAGCAACACAACAGGAAGTGTTTTGTGCCAGAGGTGCTCAACGGAGATCGGGAACACACTGGAGGCCCTGCTGAAGTGTAATGCAGAAAGAAAACCCCAACTGTATTTGTAGAGGAAAATAAGTGGCAGTCGCTTTCACAGTGGGACAGGGCAGGCTGGTGGCTCTAGGGAGAGCAGCACACTGGAAATGGTCTGCCACACCTGCTTTTGCTATGGTCTAAACAAGGAGGCAGGCAGGGGCTTGGTCAGGCAGGGGACGGAGCTGGTGGCAGACACCCACCTCTAGCTCATGTCTCTTTCCTTCGAACTCCTCCTGGCCTTTACCACGCCAATCCAGACAACCACAAAACAAGCTAAGGCCAACGCTAAGCAATTCACACATCTGCCTCCCTGTGTGTCTGTGCAAATCACTTGTGATCGATCATGTAAATTATTCTCTTTTTTTAACCTAAAGTCAAGGGTGGAGAGACAATTTACTTTTACAACCCTGGCCAGCCAAATACAGCCTATGCACTGTCAAAAGCAGTTTCCCACACAGGGTTAAATAAAGGAGCAATGTGCTATGACATCCAAGTCCCAGCACCACACCTGCAGAATGATTGGTCTCAGAGGCTGAGCTCCAGGTCTCTGAAACCTTATCATCAAAGTTGTCTCCCCAGAACGACATTATATATTGCTCAAAATCTAAAAAGCATTATGGTCATAAAGATGCAGGCTCACTTCATCTCTTTACACTGGGATGGGAGCAGGGAGGTGGCCGGGTGGAAGGGCTAGGGAGCCTGTGGTCCACAACAGCCCATTCCATGGGACAGGGAGGGCAGAGCTGGCCTGCTAGCTGGGCTGCAGAGGACTGGCTCTTCCATGACAAAAATCTAATCGTGTGCCTGTGCAGAAGATACTGAACTGTGTACTCTGTAAGAACCTCTTTAGCATCAAGTGGGAGCCTACTCACACAAATGCCTGGGCACATGCATCAACCAGGAAACACAAGGATCTGCCCCTACTGGCCATGAAGAGGTACACGGAAACAAGGGGCTAAGGTGGCTTGAATCGGGGATGGGTCTCCTACGTGAAACAGGAAAGCCACTGTCCCAGATATGAGGAGGGTCTGTGGTTGTCCTGGCTGCTGGGCCCACAGCGGACCGGACACCATCACTCACAAGAGGCTCTCTCTCCATTGTTCCTGGTGTTTATGTCCCCTTTGCTCTGGCGCCCTTTCGTCCCCGTCACTTCCTCCATGCGGTAAATTTCAGAAACACACAGTTTGGGATTGAAAGCAAAGTACATTTTCCCAGATTTGATGGTCAGGTTGCGATGGTCCCAGTCCCACAGCTGCTGCAAGTTCTGGTTGTCTAGGACGTAGAAGGAGTAGTTCCTGGAGGCAGAGAAATCGACATTAGGGCCCCTGCCTGTGTCCACAGTCCACACCAGCCGGCTGGCCCATCCAACACAGTTCCCTCTGCTGTATACTTGGCTCCACGACACATCTCCTTTGCTAGTACAAGATTTAGTTACTGATGCTGTGTAAGAGCAGACAGGTGCTCTTAACCATGGCAACAGCATGAGTCAAGGGCAACATATTGAAATTGATAAGACCTAATTAATTTTATGACCTCTATTACCAACATATAAAGCTTCTCACACTAAAAGATGTTCCTCGAATCATTCCCTAGAAATGCCTTTGGTTATTTTTTTCTCAGAGCCAGGTATGTGTAATGTACTTGAAATCTGTCTGCAGGAGAATAGACATGCTCTGCTACCCAACCGGAACAGCTTACATATTTGCTGTGAAGTCTCCCATTATCCTTGGGAGTAAATCCTACCCGTGCCCAATCAGCCACACATGATGGGCAGTCCTATGCTGCTTCCTCCTCCACACACATCTTTTACCCTGAGATGCCCTCACTTCAGTCCCTGCAGGTACAGGCAGGGAAGATCCTCTCCATATGCTCGTCCCTGCCTCAGGGCTCCCATCCAGGCAGCAAGACTTTGGGTCCAAGTCAGTGGTTCTTCAAGTTCTGGGCATATAAAGCTTGTTTTCAGAGTGCAACACCCTGTACTTGGAGCTTCAGATGCAGAAGTCTGGGGTGGGCTGAGAATCTGCATTTCTAATACATACCAGGTAATGCTCATATTGCTAATCCTGAGACCATACTTGGAAAACCACTGGTCTAACAGAGGCTGAGCTCCAGCAACAAGGTGCTGGAGGGCCAGAGCCCAGCTGGCTGGCCAGGGTTCCTCCCCCAGTGCCCATGCTGTCCACCAAAGAGAAGATGTGAAGACAGCCAAGAAGACAATTACCAGTGGCTACCTGGTGTCAAGAGAAAGCCACCTGTTGGGAGGTGAAACAGCACTTAAGTCCAGCTTAGCGATCCAGTCTGTTCCCTGTGGACTTATAATTCTCCTCTCCTCGTTTGCTTCTCATCCTTGGTTTCTTTCTGAGGTTCCCTTAGAGCTCAGATTTGGGAGAAGACGTTGAGCTATGTCTAAGATCCATTCAGACCCAAGAAACAAACATAGCCAGGACAAAAGAGAATGCTCAAGTTCTCCTCTGCCCTAGAGGCTGTGTCCACTGGGCATCTCTCTGCATGTACTGGGGCCCTTGCCCCCTCACCAGGACTTCTAGCCAACTGATCCATCTTCAGTCTGAGTCTCACCTACAGTGAAGCATAAATTACTGGTACAACACTGCCAAGCAACCTAGGACACTTCCTTGGGAATTCATAGACCAGGAGAGAATTCAGACGTGGGGACCCAGGTCTAGAATGTCTTTCGTGAGTTGCATAGCTCAAGACAAAGACCTTTAGTGCTGTTTGCAGCATCCTTTACTGACTGATAGGACAACAGGGGCATGAACAGGTGATAGCTGAGATCCTTGTTGGCTTTAAAAGCCTCAATGTCCAGAGGAATCACAGAGGTGAGGTGGAATCGGCCCTGTCCACCTGAAGCCTGGTCCCTTTCTGAGCACTGGGCCCAGTGCACAGGCTGGGACTCACTGGGTCCCTCTGAGCCAAGCCAGGTGCCTCTCCCAAGCCTGTCTCCAGGTCTCTGGACACATGGATGTTCCCAAATGAGTGGGGAGAACATGAAAGTCAACAGCTCTCTCCCTAATGCACATGTGTCCTAGAGAAGGAATCAAACACATTGTCCAAAAAAGTTTAGATGGTGACACAGGCTGTGTGTCCTGGACAGCCTGGTCAGGTCTACCCATCCCTGGGGACAGAGCCCATCCCATCCTCTCTTGCTGCTGGTCCGGGGCATTCAGTACCATCCTATAGCCAAAGAAGGGCTGCAGAGATGGAAATGGGTTTGTCCTAGCATACACCCATTCTTGTTCACAAACTATTTCCAGCTCCAAACGAGGATACTTTGGATTGTCACTGCTAACCCCATGGACCTGGCTGCTCCCCAGTCTCCGAGACAGTTCTAGAGACAAAAATCTCCTTTCTGGTGAAGAAACCTCCAGGCAGGGCTGGGAGTAAGGGCCAACTAATCAGGTCAAACTTCCTTCTCAATCCAGAATGAAGCCTCTTTGAGTAAACTAATTTTACTAGCAGGAAAAAGCTGCACTGAAAAAAATTTTCTGAACAACACACTCTTCTCCCTCTTGGAGGAAGCATGAATTATATATGGGGAATTTGACAATGAATGGCAGGCACACTGAAATTGTGTATTTGATTAATCACTTTGAAAAGCGAGACTATCTTTTTACAGTAAACACAAACGTTTTTTCACAACATTGAGAGAGCTGGGAACCAGGATACCAATATCAATAAAACTTGGGGGCTATGTAGACCATGCAAGTTAAAGAAAATAAATAAAACCCTTATGGAAACAATAATCAGGCCATTCATTAGCTGTCTGTCAGTACTGCTCTTGGTTTTTCAACCCCAGAATCATAACGTACAGCCTCTTATGTCTGTTCTCACCAAATTTCTTCTGTGATCAGATGAGAATTAAGAGATGGTAAAAGGCAGAGACCTGATTGTACATCTTCAAAATAAACTTAAAAATTTTCACTGATTCTTAAAGGAAATGACAATCTAAGGAGATTACTCAGTAAACATGGTTTCATCACTGTTTCTAAACTCACTTCCCTTCACATTCACAGACTTTTTGGGGTGTTTTATTAGCTCCCAATGGCTCCATTAATACTCAGGTTTTATTGATATTAGTGTCCTGGCTTTTAGCCGTCTCAATGTTGTAAAAAATGTTTGTTTCCCAACTTAGACGGGTCCCATCTGCCAACCCGTAGACCAATGAGTGGGCTGGGCGTGGCAGGTTGTTTTCCCATTGGCATCTGTGTGCCATCAGCACCCATACCCTAAATGCCCATGGAGCACACAGCACACGCTCAGCCTGTTACTGTGGCCGCCACTGCAGGGCTGCCCTCCCTTGGAGTATCAGCAACACTGCTCCTGCTGCAGGAGGTGGGAGCAAGGGGAGGGATAACTGCTGGGGATCTGGGCAGCCCTTGGAAGACAGCCCCCAGTGCAAGGTTCACAGCATTCTAGCTGGGAATCCCAAGAGCAGGTCTAAGCCTTCTTTCCACCACTGGCTCAGTAACAACTCTGGGCAGTGTGTCTGGCTTCTCCCAGGCTGGCTCAGCTGCAAATGGGAGGTATCCTCCCTGCTCTCTTTCGGCTCTGAGGCCAGTTGGAAGAACTGGATGAGCTACATATAAAAGGTTCCATGAGCTTTGAATTACCTCACAAAGGTGTGGGCTGACCTCTCTGCTCTCTGAAGTGTCAACGTCCCCCAGAACAAAGTGACAGAGAACAGAAAAGTCCTGCACCTGACATACGGGTCCGCAGCTTATGGAGGTAGGAAGGACAGTCCCCTCCTTTCAAGCCCTTGCTGACATACTGAAAGGAAATCTACAAATACACAAGAGATAATTTCGGTTCTTTTCTCCAAGGAAAAACTGCCGCCTTCTGACAGCTGTCTCTAGAGGGCATCAGAATCCAGCACAGAGTTATCACCAGCACCAAGCAGTCTGCAACTGATACAGGAAGTGGCCTTTTCACAGATGCCCCCTGTAACCTAGCTGTGAACGCAAGCTTCACTGCGTGCAATCCCCTAAGCCAGTATCACACCATCCACTGGGGCTTGACAAGGGTAGGAAGGGAGGCCTAGATGAAGCTGGGCACTTCACGGATACTCAGAAAATATCTCCTTCTGGGTGTTTTTAAAGATAGCTTTATTGGAGTATAATTTACATACCAAACATTTCACCCGTCATCAGTGTGTGGTTCTACAAGCTTCATTAAATTTACACAGCTTTGCAACCATCACTACTCTTCTCGTTTCAGACATTTCTACAAAGTTCCTGTGCTTCTGTTGGTGGTCCAGCCCATGTCCAGCCCCAGCTAGCATGATCTGCTGTCTTTGCCTTTTCTAAAAATTAATTATTACCAGAATCATAAGGTACAGCTGCTTATGTCTGCCCCCCCCATGTAGCCTAATGTTTCTGAGGTTTACTCAGGTTTGTACATGTATCATTGTTTTTTATTGTTCAGCAGTATCCCATTATGTCATATTTTGTTTATCCATTCATCTGCTGATGGACATCTAAATTATTTCCAATGGGTTGGGTTGGGTTTGGGGAAGGTAGGGGGCTGTTACAAATAACACTGCTACGAGCACTCACACCTAAGTCTTCATGGGCATGTTCTCACTACTTTTGGGTTGATCCTTGACTTGCTGGGTCTTATGGTTGAGTATATTTTTCAGAAGTCCCAGGAAGATGTTAAAGCGCAGCCATGTCTCAGAGCTGCAAGGAGGTAGAATGAGGTGCTGCAAAGTCAAGTGGCTGAGAAATAAGCAAAGAAATGCCTGAATGCACCTAAGCATTTTCCCTCTACTGTGGATTAAACCCGGGGCCCTGGGCACGCTAGGCATGATTTTCATCCCTAGGCTACATCCCCAGGCTTATGAATTTCAGTTCTTACAATCTACCACCTCCATGTATTTTTATTCACTCTGAGACAACAATCCTTAGTAGCACCAAAGAATTTGACTTCTTTTTTTCTAATACCAAGGATTGAACCCAGGACCTCTGTGCTGTGCTATAATCTCTAGCCCTTCCTTATTATTTTGAAACAGGCTTTGGCTATGTTAAGTTACCCAGGCTGGGCTCAAACTTATGTCTCAGTCTCTCCAGAGTACTGGAATTACTGGTATGCTCCATGAGGCATGAGGGAATTTGAAATTTTGATACCTTATTTACTTGATGGCATCAGAAAATATGTTTGTCCAAATCTGAGTTTTTCAGATAGACAAAAGAGAAATATTTGCTCTCTTATTCAAGGGCATTAAAATTATAGAAATCTTATACATACATATGGATTACAAAATCAGTTTCTTCTGTCAACAACAGAAAAACCTTACTTTTCTTAACATCTAAAGTCATCCTCTAGAAATTACACAGAGCAGGTGATGTGTCCCTGAGGAAGCCCTGGCTGTCTGAGTCTTTCTGGACAAACAGAAGGCTACCTGCGGCCATCTGTGCCACCTCCTCCTCCAGTGACAGATCAGCCTGCTCTCTGTCCTGGTGAGAGTTGCCTCCACCTGTCACCAGCTGGAAGTCAGGTTACGAAAGCAGCTCATAATGAGCATGAGAGAAAGATAAACAGGGCCTGGGTGAGGACTATGGAGCTCTGTTCTGGGTGAAGTGCTTGGATTTCCTGCTGTAGTCTGATGAGGAGATTCTGAGAGGGATCTCAGTGACAGTTTGGAAAGCCAATGCTGTCAGGGTGGAAGAACCTCCAGATGATGAATTACTCCCCTCTCCATCAAAATAAAAGCCTACAGAACGTTCATCCCATTGGGCCAAACAGAGATGTTTATTTGTGTCCTCAATGGCTACAAGAAAGGTTCAAGAAATACCACATGTCAAGGCAGCACTGAGATGGAAAATATTTTACTTTCGAAGTGCTCTGGGGATACATGTGTATGAGAAGGATAAAGCAATGGTTTCCAACCTCTGCTGCATGGTGAAAGTACCTCGATATCTTTAGAGAAATTTTGATGCCTGAGTCCCACCCACCCCAAATACTGACTGAATGAAAGTGAGGTGCAACATGGATGTTAAGAATTTCTTAAATGTCTCCCCCACCCACCCTGATGATTCTAGCATGTAGCAAAGTCTGGGAAACACTGGGATAAAGATTACCCTGGCTTACACCAAAAGCACACTGAAATTAAAATTCAGACAGCTTCGCTAATACTCCTCTACTCAAAAGGCCTGAATGTGTTCCACGACCTACCTAAATTATAACCTCCGCACCTGGGTGTGAACACCTTACGTAATTCTAGTACCACCGACCTCTCCAGTGTTATTCGCCAAACAGGCCCCAGGATGCCCCAACTTGTTGCTTTTGCTCCTGCCACTCTGTCCCTGAATTGCCTGGCTTCACCCACTCCTTTCTCCAGAAATCCTCCAACGCTTATCTCATATGCCACCTCTTCTTGGAAGCCCATTGAATTTCTCCATCAGGTCTCACTTGTGCCTGTGGCACATTCCTTTCCTTCCCGGGGAACTCCCTGCAAGTTGTGCACTGCACTCCTGACATTCATGTGTTTATCACACCCCTTTCTTTTCCTCTTCTGACTTTTTGTTTCTTACAGAAGGAATGAAGGTAGAAGCCAGAGGTGCTGAGCCTAACTGTCCCAAGGCCTGAGAAGGAGAAAAAGGAAGTCAGTTGTTGCTACCGGTCACCCCTGAACCAAACAGAGTTCTTGGGGAGTTCAATATAAGTGAAGATGAGCTATATCTTTTGCTCACACATAAGGAAGGCAGCTATGAGATAAACAACTCCCACTAAGAAAGAAAGGCAAGAGCCTCAAGAGCCCTTGCTAGACAGTCTCGGGGAAGCACCACACCAGCTGTTCTAAGAGTAGGGCAGGGCAGGGCAGAGCAGACACTTACCTGAGAAGACCTCAAACAGATGCATCCTTAAAAAGACCCAACTGATACCTCAGGTTTTATGCAGGTTTCATATAATGAGAAATACATCATAAATATCCTTGCAAATAAAAATCTAGTTTCAATTTTCAGCTACATTTAAATACATGATACATTTAGTGCACAGTGAAAAGGTAATCATACCATGTAATAACTTCTAATAAAAATTAATTAAAGTCTTCTCTTGGCCTTCTCCTCTATGCTTATCACTTGCTCGAGTCTGGGAAAAAAACAAAACAAAACAAAACCCAAACAGCATATCCTTAAGTAGGCAGAAAATTTGATAGCTACCAATATGCCAAAGAAAAAGTGCTTAATGATAGGAGGGATTCCAGAAAGGAAGTCATTTGGAGGAAAAAAAAAAAAAAAAAAGAGCTAAACCCATTTTGAAATTTAATACAACAATGACCATCATCTCACTCTGGCAAGGCCCCAGCCTGCCCCCAAGTGTGGTCACACATCCGAGCGGGGCACAGTGGCCCTCTCCTTAGATTTGCAAAGAGAAAGGATTTTTTCTAAAGAATCAGTGTTCCCAGTGGGGAGGACAGTGTGCTTTTCAAGGATGGAATGAAGAGCTGCCCTCTCTCATCAGCTATATCAGATGATGGAATTTTAAGAATTTAAGGCTGACCAAGAGTTAGTCTGAGAAAAACAAAGAGGCCATAAAGAAGCCCTTATGTGGTAACTTCATCCAGTTGGGGCAGATAAATCTTCAAGGACAACCTTCCCATGGCTTTCCTACCTCTCTTTTTCCTAAATTATTCTCCCAAATTCTGTTTAGAAGGAATTCACTCCTTAATTGATAGCTCCTTTTTATCTCAAAGCATTAGCATAGTGTCAAGAGCCTTACTTAAGAGGGAGATGGACGTTTGTGAAGGTACGTGCAGGCTGATGGCTGGAAAGAAATTAAGTATGCAACAAACACCAGTTTTCTTCTCTGCTGAAAAGCCCATGGTTGTTTTAAAACCCCTATCATAAAGCACATCTCTGCAGAAGGCAAAAATTCTATCAATAGTGCAAATCCTATAAGCTAATCAATAAAAACAATTTTGTGAATCGATTACTTTTATAACAAAACAAACTGTTCATACTTCCCAAAGTCCTTTATGTTTCAATATTTTAAAATATGGACAGTTTTTATTTAGCTCAGTATGGCACCGAGACAGAAATGGGTCAAGTAAATCATAATTTCACTGAGCATTAAGCACTTTAGACTGATAACTTTCAATTTTGGCAGAGGAGTCCCCAAAAGCATGGCCAGCTCTGATCCATGGCTTCCAATCCAACAGCAATGAGAGGTAGGCAAGGGAACCACTGAGTTAAATCCCTGGCCCAATCCAACAGCAATGAAAACTTCTGTTATCCAAAATAGCAACATCCTGGGGGTGGAGAATCACAACTCATATAAGACAACATCCATCATCCAGGTAGCAGGGCAACCCTGCTTCCTCCTGTGTTACACAGCTTCACAAATATACTATAGTTTGTAACAGGAGGATGATATCCTACAAAACCTGGAGTACTTACCCTTCCAGCTGCTCCTCCCCTAAGATCTGGCGAAGGTTTTTCAGGAAGGACAAGGAGACTAGGGCATGGGAATGGCGGATCTTCACGTAGCCCGTCACCACCTCGATGAGCCCCATGAAGTTCTCCAGTTCCGACGCAATGTTATCTACACCAGAAAGGGACCATGTCACTGGGTGCTCAATTGGTGTCAGGGCGATGTGCTCAGACTCATACAAACATGGTGGGGGAAGCAATTCAGTGGAGGTCATGTTTCTGGGGAGCCTGAGATGCTCAGGATCTTGGTAGAGGCCCAGCCATCCCTTGTTAAAAGACACACTTCTTTCATCTTGACTTTCAACAGCTACTCCTGGGCAAGACTTCCGAGCCAGGGGAAAGAGAATTTCTAGGAGTCTGGGTAGTGCAGTTCCCAGGCCGATTAGCAGAATGTAAAAATCATAAATACCAGACTGTCAATTAACTCAGGCTGACAAATCTAGGGAGCGTCTTTTAATACGCTCTGTCAACAGACAAGACTGCCTCCACAGGGCAAGGGCATGACTAAATAAACAGCATTTTCTTGGTCTCGTTAGGAACTGCCTTTGCTGTGTTTTTAGTTCCTAAGATACAGCGTCTATATTTAAAGACTCTATCTTACTAAGACTGTAGGAAAACACACTGCATGCACAATGGCTATCTGCAGTTAATTTTTTTCCTCTTACTTGAAGCACTGGGTATAAAATCCAAGGCCTCGCACATGCTAGGAAAGCACGCTCCCACTGACCCTGTTTCCCAGCACTGCAGATTCTTCATAAAAAGCCATCCCTACATCTCTGTGTTTTCTATAATGATCATGTATTACTTTCACAACTAGAAAATAGTTGGAAAAAGAGTTGCTAAAACATGCAAAAACAATCAGAAACTGTAGATTTCCTTTTATCTTGTTAGTCTACATTTTTCTCATGGCAAATAATAAACATAAACTTCAGTTTGACCTCTGCCAAAATTATTATAAAGACTAATTAGGCAGAGTTCAATGAATGGGATTTTTACCCCATATGATTTACAAAGGATTACTTTAAAAAGGCTCTATTTTGCTTTGATTTGCTAAAAATAAATGAACAGGGTGTTTTCTTGGAGGATAAGGTCTTACATTTAAAGGCTTTTCATGAAATATTAAGGGAAAATTCAATTTGGAAAGAGGAGAGGCTGTTTGTAGTTGATGTTTACTGAACAAGATCTTGAAATTTAAGTGGGTCAAGCAATGAGCCTCTTTGTCAAGGGTCAGGAAACCACTTAGACAAGATGTCCCATCACCCTAAAGCCAACTGACTTCCTGCACTGGCCATGATCTGGAACATACACTTCCACTTCATGCATGAATATTTACCAGTTCCTTCTCAAATGATGCTGCTCTTTGGATTTATCTCATAGATTAATTTTTTTATCTTTGGGATAGAATGTTTTAAAAAAGAAAGTTTAGCCACCTACAAGGTATGTTCTAGGGATGTGTAAGTTGAAAGTAAAATAAATGTAGTAAAAGCAAAAAGAGTAACTTCAGAAGTACTATGAGCATGAGGAGTTCTAATGGGGAATAGGATTGCTTCTGTCGTGGAGAAATGGGAAATAAAAAAAAGGATATAAAAAAACTCAAAAGAACGACACAAAGCGTTGTTTCTGCTCTCTAAACCATAACAATCATTTGCTCATTTGACAAATATTAAGGAAAACTAAATTTACTGAATGAACAGGCTAGTCACTTTTTTCTCTTCAAATTAAAAAGTTCTTCACAAAAGGATCGACCATTAAGGAAAACTAAATTTACTGAATGAACACGCTAGTCACTTTTTTCTCTTCAAATTAAAAAGTTCTTCACAAAAGGATCGACCAAAACAAAAGTTTTCTTTTCAATAGCAAGGTCTTCCTTTTTTCCAGCTAACAAAACTATTAGTGCCTTGGCCTGGTAGTCCCAGTGATAGAGAACAGAAGACATCATTACTAAAAGCTCTTGTCAATCAAAGATCAGAAAGGGAAAAAGTCAGTGCATAATGCTTTGCACAAACACAGTTTGGAAGCCACTTACCAGAAATGGAACCTACTGCAAGCAAAGATGACCCTGCAGGGGCAAGACTGCAGCTCTGTGTATGTGATGACACAGCCTGCATCTTTACAGCTTCCAGAGGTAAAGCTGTGCGACCTACCGCTCTCCTGGCCTTCATGTGCTATGGACGTGACAACATCAGACTCTTCCCTTTATTCCACCTCTTCGCTACATGCAAGTAACCCAAACTCTGGACATAAATATGTGGGGATCTGGCCACGGTGGGAGCAGGTGAGTCATCCTCTAATCTGCTGGTCCCTTCTGGGTCTCATGTGTGCCTGGACCAGCCTCTCCTACACAAGATGTGACTAACAGAAAGATGAGGGATGGCCCTTTCTACAGGAATAAACTGTACCAGTAGCTGAAACACGGACTGCCTGCTGATCTATGTTTTTATCTTCTAGGGAAACTCAAAGAAGAGTCGTCAAGTATGAGGCTTGTGCACCGTGTTGTTTCTCCAAGCCCGTATTTTAGTTGTGACTCAGGGAAAGGATCACGAGATGTACTGACAAACAAAAATCAAGGCTGCAGCCACCGGTCCACTGGGGCAGTGGAATACTTACTGCCGCGTCGGATATTAATAAGCAGGTTGCCCTTGAAGATGGTGCACCCTTGGAGCATCTGAGCAGAAGTCACAGAGTCAATGGTTTTTGTCTTCTTTTCTTCCTCACAGACCTTTGGGCAAGGACCTTCACAAGGGATGCAGTACATGCTGTGGAAGATAAAGAGGCAACCAAAACCACAAAGAATTGAGTCTGTCTCCTTGCATTACAGAACTGTAAAAAGGCTTTCCAGTTGCTATTATAGAATGCGTTACAAAAAGCAAGTGTTCTGAAGCGCTCACGTGGTCACATGGTGTCTCATACTCGAGCCCACCCAGGATAAGCTGTTCAAATTGCAACCAAAAGGGGAAAGTAGCTACAAAGGAAAAACACAATGCTTGTTTCCAGACAAAATACACGATCCATTCTGGAAGCATGTATTCTAGGCTGTTAACTGGGGAGCCAGCTGGTTCCATGTGGGAGACACAGACTCAGAGAAAGCAGGCTCTGATGGCTCAGGGGGAGAATGAGGCAGCTCTCTGACTCTTGTGACCCTTGCTGCATACTCAGAGGACAAATCTGGAGAAGTGGAAGGGACACTGACAGGACTGCAGCGTCCTTGCTATAACAGGAGTCTAACTCCTGCAGTCAGAGCCCAGTAATCCCAGTGAGGGATTCTGGAAGGCATGTGGTATAGCACAGATCCATTATTTTCTTGCTAAAGCACAACTGAAATTATTTTTTGACAATGTTTTGCAGAAACTTGTAAATTGATCCAAATGTTGTTTTTGCTGCGTGTACAATAAAAAGCAAGGCATTTCCATCACTTTGTACTGAGTTCCTATTTCAAATGCTACCCTGAACATACCACAAACCACTGAGTCAGGGACAAGTAAGACTGGCGTTTTTCCTGCTTATCTACCATTATTTAGGAAATAAGACAAAATGCTAATCCAGCAGTTGAACTTTTGGGAGCTACAGATAAATACAGAATCAGGGTTATAATGTTGGGTCGATTTCCAAACAAGATTAATGATACAACCTTATAGGATGTGTGTGTAATCAGATGGGAAGTTGGAGAGCCACTATATTTAAATTATTGTTGTTCAATGATCTTTTTGAAGCTTCATGAAGATAAAATAAAAAAATGTAAGAAAAGGTGTGTAAGAGTTGTTTTTATTAAAGTCTTGCCCTCTTCCCTAAAATGTTGTCTCTATGGGCAAAGACATAGGAATCTGCTATGTTTTAAAGCTAATAGGTAAACAAAATTTCTTGGCATCGTCCTATTTCATGTTGGGGTCCTGTAGGAACTGAACCTGCAGGTTACCCAAATGGGGAAAGAAAAGAAGAAAGCTTCCCCTAACATCACACTCGACATTCTCATTTCCTTTATTTTCCTCTAGTGTTCTGTTGTTTCTTATTTACCCAAGTACCATATGAGCCTCCTCACCCTCCCTTTAAAAGAATTGTTATTTTGAAATAACTGTAGATACACAAACAGTTGCAAAGACAGTGCAGAGAGGACTCATGAACCCTCCACCAAATTTCCTCCAATGTCTACTTCTTCTTACAGAATGGTAAAACCAGGACTTTAACACCAGCACGACACACCAATATGTGTGGTCCCCAGAACACTCAAGCTCTCTCTGGGTGTCCCCTTCACAGCCACTCCCCTGCCCTGGCCTCCAAAAGCCTTAACTCCTGCCAATCACTTATCTGTTCTCCATCTCTAGAACTGTATCATCCTGAGAATGTTGTATAATAGACTCATACAGTATGGGGATCTTTTGAAATTGGCTCTTTTTACAGAACACCTTGTCCTTGGGACCTATTCATGTTGCTGTGTATTTTAGTAGCTTGTTCCCTTGTATAGCTGAGTCTCCTTCCTGTGTGTGGACAAATCACAGCCCACTTCACCATCTACCTTTCGCAAGACAGCAGTCATTCTGGCTTCTGAATATTACAGATAAAGGTGTACTGAACAACTGTGTGCATGTTTTTGTGTGGACATAAGTTTTCATTTCTCTGGGAGTGATGTCCAGGGCTGCTTCTTCTAGGTTGTAAGGTTTAGTTTCCCTCCAACTTTTATTGAAATAGAAAATTCTGAGCTACACATACTCCTTTATTAAAATGTCTAGAATTCATCTCTAGCACTTAAAAATGATCGTGCAACGAAGTGTTTTGATTACACATTTATAGATTAAACTTCCTCAAATTCATTCCGGTAGAGTATAAACAGTATTTAAAAACTATCTTCAAGTAAGTCTTACATAGGCCTCAAGGGCAAAGAGGGGGCATTTATTATTTCTTGATAGTGTTTTATTTTAAAACGGAAAAGGCAGATCTGTATTTCTGAACAGACTATAAGAACTGGCAGGAGAAACAATGGTTCGATTCTTTAAATGTGCTGCCAGGGACAAAAACAACATGTGAAGCCAGCAGTCTCACAGTACCCACTGCTCTGGTGGCTGCAGAAGAACCATAGGCCTCCAGGTAGCGTGAGAAATTGCACAGCCAGGTCACAGATGTCCCCACAGAGTCCACAGAGCAGGGCCCCTTCCCTCCATGGCCCAGTTGGAGGGCGATGTCTCCACTGTGGGCGACCTGGTCCTCGATGCCCGGCACTGCTCTAGGACCCGCAGTGTGCACAGACAAATCCCTTTCACACACTAAGCATGTGCTATAGTTGAATCTTGGGCCCCAGCTGGATGTCACCGGCAGGTGGTAGAAACCTGAAGAGTGGGGCCTAGCGGGAGGTCTTCTGGTCACGGCAGGTGTGTCCTTGCAGGGACAATGGGCCTCAGCCTGTTCTCTCTGCTCTCTGTCTCTCATTCCTGAACATGAGGTAAATGGCTCTGTTCCATCATGTACTCCCAGTCCACGCCCCAGCACCCTCCAATAAACAAACAATACTCTAATAAACAAACAATACTCCAGCTGCTCCTAGAAGGACTGTACTTACAGCTCTCTGGGAGGCTGAGACAGGAGACTTAACAAGTTTGAGCTCAGCCTGAACAACTTAGTGAATCAGCAAAGCCCTGTCTCAAAATGATAAAGGGCTGGGGATGTAGCTCAGAGAAAGAAAGAAGAAGAAGAAGAAAAGTAAGTCCTGGGCAGGTGTCATACCAGCACAGGAAGATCACAAGTTCGAGTCCTGCTTGGGCAACGTAGGGAGATCCTGTCTCAAAAACCTTTTTTTAAATGGCTGCAATTATAGGTGTGAAATATAGTGTGAAAGTTCTGAGTTCAGTCCTCAGTACGGCAAAGAAGGGGGAGGGGAGGAGGAAGATAAAAGAGGAAAAGGACAAGGACAAGGACAGGCAAAAAGGCAAAGCGTGCCCACCCGCGCCCAGCCCCGCACCTCTGGCTGCCGTTGCGGATGAAGCCCGAGGGACACTCCTGCATGCACTCGCCGTCGTGGATGACGAAGCCCTCGGAGGAGTCGCTGCTCTCAGCGTTGGGGATGTTGGCGCAGAAGTCCCGGTCCACGCAGCGCCAGCCCTCGAAGCGGTAGGTGCCGGGCGGGCAGGCGGGCACGCAGACGCCGGCGTAGTAGAAG